ACACCAAACAGATTCCGGGTGATCTAAACAGAAGATTTCAACGACCGACGTCAGAGGTGTCCTTGCCGCTGCCGGAAACAATCCAAGAGTCTGAAGACCTTTCCAACCAAGCGTCTTTTAAGATTGGGATCCTGGCAGCATTGAGCCCCAGACCCACGCTTACGTACGTGGCAAACCCACGGCCTTCGGCTGGAAAGCAACCAGCAAGAGTAAAACCTTCGGTGCAGCAAGCCATAGAAGAGGAGGACCCCTCATCGAGGAAAAGGATAAATGAGTTAGCGGACGAGCTCGACGCAGGAGGATTGAGAGAGTTGATGGAGAGGGATCGAAAACGTAAGGAAAGGAAAAAGGAGGCTGACCGTGCCCGGTTGGAGAAGAAGCTTCAACGAAAGGCTGATAGGCAGCGCGAGGAGGAAATGCGTGGTCGCCGCGCAAACAATGATGTCCTCACAGTCCCCGTTGAGGACATTGAAAGAAGGGGTCGTGCGCTTTTTGGCAATACTGGAGAAACATCGCAATCCGCTGTCGCACGCAAATCCCCGAGTTCTGCGCATCAATCAACCGATCCATTTGCAGATCCAGGAAGCTTACAAGCTCGGCCGGTGCGGCAGATTAGAAATCCATTCGAAGATGAGCAAGATATCGATCTCACACAAGAATCGTTCCTCCACGAGGGAGATGAAGAACCCCCAGTGCCGATTAAATCGCCTCTTCGAACGGTTTCCGCAGCTCAAGCCAGGACCGAGGAGAAAGCGTCTCAGGCGGCTACAATATCCCCCCCTACTTCTCCAACGCACGGGCCTGTTGATCGGCAGAGTCTTTCTCAAACGAGTGGACTCGCTCGCGAAATCACACCAGACATTCCAGAATATGGATCGCTTGATCGACGCGCTTCGGACCAGAGCAATCAACAGCTCAGCTCCTGGACGAGCTTTTTCAGGCGTGGAGGAAGACGAAAAGGCGGCAATGTTGACCGTGGTCGAAGCACACCGTCCGAGTTCTCGAACACTTCACGCGAGTCGTTTGCTGCACGAAAGCAACAGCTTCCACCCGTGGTGGTTCCGCGCACGTTTAGAAAATCTGACTCCTCTTCGGTGCCGCGAAGAACCATGTCCAAGTTCCGCGAGGATCTGCCCGAACTTCCCATTTCGCCTCCAGACTCTCGTGTTCAGTCCCCAGAAGTGATGGCTAGCCCACAGGCAGCTCAGGTATCTAGGCAACCGCGACACTCGGTGTCAGGGACTTTGGACAATCGAAGTCTAGCCACCAGCTCGAGTAATGCAGCACTGGACCATGGGGCAGCGGAAAGTCGCCATCCTCAAGGTGGTGACATTGAGATGGGCGGGACGGCCTCAGGCGCGGGCTTGTCCCAATCCCTGGCCTCTGTTGACTCGGAAGGGTCTTGGCTATCAGGAAAGCCTCCCAAGAGGCTCTCAGGCGGTATGGGCCACCCACTCCGACAAAGCCAGTCCTCGATTCCTCCGCAATCGATTCCTGGGTCTTTCGAACCAGAGGACGACGACCTCGCCAACGACGAATACCTAAACAAGCTGTCCCGGGGCCCAAGTGGGCGTCGAGATTCGGTGGCTTCTGCGGGGCGCAGAGCAAGCAGTAATGTCATCGATTTAGAGCGGGAGCGCCAGCAAAGCCCCGTTCCCGACATGCCTCACATGCCAGCTGCCCAAGGTGGGGACGAGAGATGGCACGCCGGGATCGCCCGCCAAGCCACCGTGGTCCGGCAACCCACTCGAGCCAGGTCGAAGGAAGGATTGCTCAAGGAGACAGACAAGGACGATTTGGACGTATCTCGAAGAGCTAGCTCGGATGTGGAGGACGAAGGCGAACTCGCAGAAGGCGAACTCGCAGAAGGCGAACTCGCAGAAGGCGAACTCGCAGAAGGCGAACCTGGGGGAGTGGAAACACCGGAACCCACACTCCTACGCGCCAGGAGCGTGGACTACAAAGGCCATGCGAAGCATATCAGTGCTGGCAGCGCAAGGTTACTGGACATTCGACGATCCTCGACCCAGTCGGAGAGTGCACCCCGAAGTGCCAGCGTTTCTCAGAGTGTACCACCACCGCAGCGGGAGCAGCCTACATTACCACCGACAGAGTGACAACAGCTGTGTCGAAAGCAACGGAACACTATCCTTTTCCTTTTCCTTTGTCCAATTTCTATATTTTTGGCCTGTGGAAGTAAAATCCCAATTGTCGACCGCCGGGATCACCGTCTGGACGGTGATTATTCCTATGACATTCACGATGCAAAAAATTGATACCCCAGATCGCTCTTTTAACATTGGTTTTCTTTTTATAATGGGGACACAAAGCACTTTGCCTTTTTCTCTGGCGGAACATGAGTTAAATTACAATTAGCGGGAGGAGAGAGTCTGGCTAAGAGAGCGTGGGTATATAGCTGCTGAGTGAAGCAATTGATTTGCCGAAGAGATGACAGTCCGCTACGATGGGGATTGAACCACGACTGACGGACTTGGCATCTTTGGAAAGTTTTGAAATCGGCCTACATGTATGTATACCTGGATTCTGGACACGGCGAGAGGTCTTGTGCAGGACTCGCGGTGGAATAACGAAATACAAAGTATTCTGTATTAGGAAACACTATGAGGTATTACGAGGTACAATAATATCAAGCACCGAGTCGCCGAGTACCTTGTCCGGACTTCGGAGTAACTGATAATCCGCCAATTGCTTGATCATGTGTCGCATCCGTGATGACGTCAACAATTGTCATCCATTCGGGCTCTGCCTACGGAATCTCTCGCTGTTTTCTCACTCACTGACTCCCCCCCGAATTCCTCGTCTCCAAAAATTCAAATACTGAGGAGCTACACGGTAGACTTGTTCATCTGGATTTCTAATCGCGTCATCTTTTCACTCACTCTTCGCCCTTCCACCGCCAACCATCCACCACCCGCTACCCCCCCTTTATCTCACTTACACCATTCATCGTCCAGTCCAGCCGAACCGTCCAACCCCTCCCCAGCTTAGATTCCTTCAGCCTCACAAATCCTCCGTTACGCAGTTCTATTTCTCTATATAATCTTCACGCTGGCCGCCTCAATCCGCTCCTCCATCAACTTCCAGCGCCTGTTACTTGGACCCAAGTCCGCACTCCAAGCTAGAACAACTGCCTTGACCCGTTCTTTCTCAACCACACACTCTATCCAGTTTTCTCAATCATCGTCCAAAATGGTCGTCCACAACCTTGCAGAGTACGTAGCCTACCATCAAGCCAAGCTGCGTGAGGAGCAAGCTCGCAATGCTCCCAAACCTGCCAAAAAGTACGGTGTTAACCCCATCCACAGCAAATCCTCGTACAACACCTCGATCGTGCAAGCCCCTGCCGACAGGCTTGTCGTCCTCGACTGCTTCGCCACCTGGTGTGGTCCTTGCAAAGTCATTGCCCCCGAAGTCGCAAAGTTCTCCGAGTCGGACGACTTCAAGGACAAGGTCGATTTCTACAAGGTTGACGTGGACGAAGTCCCCGATGTCGCTCAGGAACTCGGCGTGCGCGCCATGCCCACGTTCATGATCTTCAAGAACGGCGAGAAGGTCGCCGAGGTTGTCGGTGCCAACAAGCACGCTCTCGAGGCCGCGATAAGAAAGAATTTGTAAACCTTTTCTTTGACAAGGTCAATTGGACTCGGGGTTTTTCTGCACACCGCCAACGCGTCATCAACCCACGGCTCGACTTGGGTCGGTGAGATTTACGGTCTTAGACGACATGTTTAGCTGAACGAGGATGAAAAGGGCACCGAAGAAAATCAAGATGCCGAGACAAGACGAAAAGCTTTGACGATCCTATCACGGAAGTGCTGCTCCCTGGAGTGGGATGGGTGCTGTACTATTGCCTATTGAACATAGCCATAAAGGAAATGAATGTTCTGTCACTACTTTACTATGTTTCCACCTGTTCCCGTTTCTTGACGACGACGTCGTCGTCGTCGTCGTTGGTTTTTGGCCAACAGCGTACAAGACATGACCCGTCGTGCGTCGTACGTCGTGCTTCTTGTCGTGCGTTGTCCTTCATTCTGTCGAGATGGCGAGTGCAGAAGTCGTTGAGAACGAGTGATTCCACGGCCCCGACCTCACCGGGACTATTATTGAAATCAAATCTGCCCAAAGGCGGCCCGACCAGAGCTCGATTGACGCAACGGATTTTTCTCCTCGGTATATCAGAGATCGACCCGCCCGAGGCGACTCGGGCGTTGTTATGACAATGGCAGATCTCCCCTTTCCCCCGCGGTAATGTTCAAGGTCGCTGGGGTCGAGGTTGAGGTTGAGGTCTCCTTCACACCCTCTACCTTATTCTCAGATCCGTCCACCCCACAGTCCACAACTGGCCCATGTCCGTGCCCATGCCCGTTGCCACCCGCAGATAGTCAACAGTCAACAGTCAACAGTCAAGAGAGATTCAGGCTGCCCAGCCATGCCATGCCATGTATATAGAAAAAAACTCCTGGAGAACGAATCGAGTCGGGCACACTAGCCTTTTACGTTGTTCGTTACTAGTACTAGGTTACTAGGTAATGTTCTATATACATGTGTCTAGTAGTAGTTATCCCTATTTCCCTATATACAATTCCAATACCTGCCTGTACCAGACCAGATAGAGCGTATTCTTCCCCTTTCCTCCCTCCCTTTAGTCCAAACTATTTGTACATTGATAATTTGAACGCCTCCTGTAGGGCAGCCGTGGGACTCGTGCTTCGTCAAAGATAAAATAGAGAGAGAAAAAATGTCGTCCTTCGTCTGCGCATCAATCGTGAGTTGCTGGATAGAGCTGAGGCTTCTCATCATCCTCGTCATCGACGTCCTGCTGTCAAATCTGTGTCAATCCGATGTAACCCACCATTGCTGAATATTGTGCAGAGCGCTCAACGCATCTGCCCACTGACTCCAATAGGCAACAACAGTGTGTTCCCAAAATAGCCTTTAGACATCGTATGTAGGACATTCAGCGCATGTTTCTGGCTGGTTCAGACAGCAGTCCCGCACTTTTTGCACCTGAAACTTTGGCCTTTGTCCGTCATGGTCGCTTTGAATGTCGTGCCTCCACAATTTTTACATTTCAGATCACTCTCACTTCCCACACTGCTGCGCCTCCGTGACCGGGCTTTGCGGTTCTTGGTATCAACAGTTGACAACCTTCGCTCGTCGTCCCCAACACTCCCGCCAGGACTAGGATCACGATCAGATCCCGTAATTTCACTGGACAATTGGCTCATGTAACTGGGAGCACGAGAGAGGGGGTTACCGTCCGGTCCCAAAAAGCCCGGAGTTCTCGGTATATGCTTCGCCATAGGTAATAATGTGCTCTTCATATCCCAGGCGAGGTATGATTGCTGATCCACTAGGAACAGCGGATCATTCGGGCTGTGTGGGAGATCACCCGGAGTGGGATTTGAAGGTAAAGGTTTCAGGGAGATCTGGGGAGACAGTAATTCCTGATCCGGAGTTTTCTGGGTAGCAGAATGAAAACTGCCAGGCGAGCCAACGACTGGAGACTGGACCGTGATCGAGGGGCCGTTATGGATCTGTTGTAATGGCGAATGGAACTCGGGCGACGTGGGGGAAGTGACAGTGTCTTTTCGAGGCGGTGCCGCCGACCGGTGAAGTGAAAGACGATGGCCCAAGATCTTTCTCGGCGACGCACTACGGGACCGCTCGTTGTTGGCCAGTTGCCCCCGGAAATCCACCATACTGGCCGAGGCGTTGTTGTTTGTGGTGTCATTTACACTCACAGAGTTCCTCCAGCTCAAGATGCGATCTGTTGACTGGGTCTTCGGGTTCATCACGAATGAGTTTCGGTGATTGGACGAGGTCACAGAATTGCGAGTCGCCACAGATCCGCTCCGACCGAGCATTTTTCTGGAGAAGTTGGAGGTCGAGTCCCACGACTCGTGTCTGCGTTTCTGAAAAGCACAGTCTTGCCGGAAGACCTTGATTTGTCCCGTGTAGTCGGCGGTGACAACTATCTGGCCGCCCGGATGCGAATGACGAGACAAATACGCAGGCGTCTCTGGGGCACGACGCGGAGATTCCGATACCCTCGTTCCGTCTTTGATATGTTTGTCGTCTGAAAGGTTGCTGTTATTTGTGGGAGCCCGAGACGAAATGACAGAGTCTGCACGACTGACCAAAGTCACTGGCGGTGGGTTGCAGAGGTCATATAGAGGATCCCCCGATTGTGCCAGTAGACGTCGCGTTGCTTCAGGAGCCATTATCGCGGTAGTGACAATGGCTGAGTGAGCCTCAAACACTTCCATCGGCCGCTTGTCGTTCTCGGGCCGTTCATTGACAGACGTTGGCCATATGTACACCTTGCGGTCTTCGCTCCCGCATATGACATATTTCCCATCATCACTGAACGAAGCATGTATCTGGCTGCAGGAATTTTCGTTGCCGCGGAACTTAACTTCCAGAGTTCTATCCTTGAGGTTGTACATCCGCACCCTTGAGTCGTTGCTGGTAATCAAAAGTTTCACGTCTGGCTGACTGCCTTCTCGAGGTAATGAGATGGTATCGATCCCCGTAATCTTGCTCCCTTTGGCATTCTTGCCCCGTGCTGATCGAACATGAATTTGCGAATGCGCTTTGAGACCTTCGGTATCATAGAGGATACACAACCCATTCAAGCAACCAGCGATGGCGGTCTTCCCATCTGGTGTGAATGCGACGGCGGTAACCATATCGGAGACCTGTGTCCAGTAGGCGACGTGCTTGTCTGGGATGCTCCATAACCGTATTTTCGAGTCCAGAGAGCCCGCTAAGAAGAAACGATCATCCCGGGGATGAAACTGAATCGAGGTGACGAAGTCGTTGTGTTTGAATGCACACAAACATTCCAGGCGGCTCACGTGGTACAGCCTGACGGTCTTGTCCATAGATGAAGATAGTAGGAAGTTGTTCTTGCTCCAGCTGAGGTCCAGGATACTCGATGTGTGGCCATCGTATTCGCGAATGAGTTTACTCTTGAAGACCGGTGCGTTGAGCTTGACCTTTTCCCCGTCGTTGTCTGTCTCCGCAAGTTTCTCCTCCATTTCTCGATCGTCTGCGGATGATATGACTTCCCACACCCGCAGCTTTCTGTCCTGTCCCGCAGCAGCGAGATATCTTCCATCTCTTGAGAATTCCATGGCCCATATCGCATTATTTGCCGAGTTCCTAGGGAGTGGTGGGACGACATCACCGGGAGTATCGTTGATGCTGTGGATCTTCGAGTCTATCTCGGCTTTGCGGCTTTTGGACGGCGGCGTCCCCAGGAGAATCTGAGCTAGGAACAACCTGTCGAAGTCCTTCTGCTTTCTATACTGAGCTTTTACCTTGATATATCGTGGTGGCGCAGGGAACTTGGGTATGAAGCCGACAGGTTGAGAGAAGACTTCGGCCTCGACCCCAGCAGGTCGAACCTCAGAACCGACCTCTGAAGCATTGTCGTCGTGAAGGTCAAAGGAATCCCGTTTCTTGTTGCCCATTATTCGACTGAGGAAGGAGACGCCTTTCCTGCGGAGACATTGGCAATTAGTATACCGCAAAAGATCAACTTTCAGCGCCGCGGCCGAGAACCAGCAGATCGCCGAGAGCACATGGAAACAAGGTGCTTATCCATGAAGATCAGAAACAGGAGGAGGGGAAAGGATTCGGGGCACAAAAAAAAGATGGTGCCTGTTCCTCATGACTTCTACCAAGGGGACTTACTTCTTCTCCTTGCCCGAATTGCTACTATCAACCCGTCGTAACGAAGCGGGTTCGGCTTTCAGGCTCCCCGAGTCGGAATAACCGGAGTCTGCATAAGGCGACTTGGAATTCACACCGCCTTGAGAAGAAGCAGGCAATTTGCTTTGCGACTGGGTCCTCTCCAGGATTTGCTAGAAAGGCAATGAGTGAGCCAAGCGGTGCGAGCCCAAGTGGGTATTGGAGGTATACGGTACCCTTGAGATGGGATCTAGGACGGGTTCGGAGCCAGGCTGGGGCTCGGATGAGCCTACGATCAGGTTGGGAGACATGTTGGCTGCTGCGCTGGGCGTCCCCGGGGTCAGGCTGTAATTGTAATCGCGACGAGGACTGCTGGCAGCATCCGGTTCTCGTTCTGAAAGTGGGCGGAACACAGTCAGCACATGGACTGGGCAGTCTTGGGATGAGCAGTGGAAGATTTGAGGCAAGGTTGGCGTCCCGGAGACATCAAGACGGCGAACCACAATCTGCTGATTGGGGCATCACATAATGACCTACTGCTGTGGGAAAGAGGAGCAGAAGGAGAGCGAAGAGGCTGTTGTTGGATGTGCGCATTGGAGCTGGCGACCAGCTCCTCGCTGATGGGAGGGGAAACATCTGGATCGCATGATGACAAAGAGCATTTAGACTCGATGGCCGCCGCCGCCGCAGCTTCTGGTGGTGCCTCTGGCGCTTCTGTCTTGGGCGTTGCGTCACTCGTTGCCGTCAAGTAGTAGTTCCCTAATGCCACCACCCGCGCAGCCACCATCTGGGCCATGGTCGAAGCCTCGCGAAACCGCAATATCGATCACAGAAGTCCTGTGTACAGAGAACAGATCATTGACGACCGCTGGAACCAGGAAGAAAACCTGATCGTCAGGAAACAAGCACAAACATCGGTGAGCTTGTTATGGATCCGAAGCGCCACCCTGCTTCCACTTGAGTGTACCTACTCATCGAACTCTTCTTATCCCGTATCTGACTTATGCGGACAGATACAAAGTCAAGACCCGTCCAGAGTAAACCCTTCAGCTAGCCTCGTTGGGTACCCTTCGAACCACTCACTGCTTGAATCATCCCTCCATGCAGCTGAGCTCATCATCTGCCAATCTCTTCAATTGGCTGCCTACGACTCCACGAATTTTTACAAACACGCTCGCGCCTTTTACTGCTTTCGTCGTGGTACAGGTCCAAAGAGCATATCCTCGCGGGGACCAGAATGGAAAATTTTCTCTTCCATGCCGACGGAAGGACGGAGGCAAAAATAACCATGTTTTCCGACGCTCCTAGTGCACAAATTATGCCTTTAATGCGAGAATATCACGAGAGAAATTGCAGAAGCCAGAGAGCCCAGGAGCCCCGCTTACGCAAAGGCTGATGCGAATACGAACCCGCTCGTATAGGTCCGCGTAGCTTGTCCTGGTTCCCGCACAACGTCGCACATGTGCTCTCCGAACATCCCAGACCGCCAGCCCGTGCCCAGTTTCCTTCATGTTCAGTCCAATCATAAAGTCCAAACATTTCATTGCTCCTGGCTTGCGATTCTGCCCAAGTATCCCAAGAGGAACGCCTTGTTCTCTGCGCCTGTCTGTCGCTTTTCACCCGCAGCACGCCCTGTTCCTTGCCCACTCATAATTGATGTCATGCTTCCCACACGGGATGTCCGTGTGGAAATGGGTTCAGTCCCGGAGAGTGGCACCTCTCCATTGGCGCTGAGGATTTGACTAGATGTCAAAGGCGACACTATGCCCGAACTAGGCTGTACTGTTGTTGCCCTAGGCGTAGTGTCCGGTCCCCCACTAAACAGAGACAGCAACGTTTGTTTCTGCGCCTCGGTTTGGGATGGTTTCCGGCTCGGTGTCGATTTTTCGCCAAAGCCTGCCCCAGATGGAGGTGATAGAGCCGCAGCCAGCGAAATCGGCTGCTGATTTGGAGTCTCGTTTACACTGGCGACTCCACCAGCGATGGCTGCTTCCGTGTTCTGCGGCCGACGAAGAATTTGAGGCTGAAACGGTTTCGTTTGCTCCTTTGGGGTTGCCCTGTCCCTCGCTGTCCGCCTTGAGGTAGATTTGGGCACTCTTGGAGACCGTGGAGGCTGAGAGCGAGACTCTTCTGAACGCGTCAAAATCTTGACCGGCGTAGGTTGATTGGGATCGTACAGCGTCCTGTTGGCAGGAAGCGGGCTGCGGCCCATCTCGTTCGTCGCATGCCTGCTCGCTCTGGAGACCACCTCAAATTCCGGTTGATTCAACGGGCCACTGATCGTAGCAGATGTTTCGCCCTCTTTTGGAGGGGGTCGTTTTATCTCGGTCGCTTTTCTTGGTACTTCTTGGACGCCCTTTCCCAACAACGACAGAAGGTCCTCCTTGTTCGGTTTCGAGTTATGAGACGAAGTAGAAGCAGCCGTCGCTGCGAGTTCCACTGGCGGTGGGCGTGGAACGACTGAGATCTCCGTTGGTCTAGGCGGTGATGGTTGGGTAAAAAGCTGGAGCAGGGATGACTGTTGTGCATTCTGAGGTCGTCTGAAAGGCAGCACAGGGAATTCCTGACTTGCAACGCCCGCATTTGCGGAACCCCGTAACGGTGCGTTTGAAGACCAGGGGGGCAGAATATTGCCAGGTCCTTGGACGGCGTGATTGTCCGTGAGTGGAAGGGCGGTCGGTACACTCTGCGTTTGCGCCTGCCCTGGCTGCGAAGCCCCAACCCGGCCCAAAGTGTTAGGGGTCGACGGCTCGAATTGAGGTGCTGGCTGAATAGTTGGGCTCGTCGCTCCCTTGAAAACATCCAATAGAGCTTTTGTGTGGTTGGTCAGCTTAGGCAACGCACTGGCTGGGGGAATGGTCGCTCGTCCGTGCTGTGTGGTTCCATCGGGCGCAAATAATGGATCGGAAGTCCTTTGGAAAGGTGTGACCCGTGGCATGTTCTGAATGGGATAAGCGGCCGCATTCGAGATAGCTGTCGAATCTGGTTTCGGGGGAGCTTGCTGTGCGGGCAAAACCACATTGCCTTGAGACTGCGCCTGGAACGGAGGTGGGGGCTGGGCTTGGTCTATCTGTGGCTGTCGTACATGTGAAATATGCGGCGATTGTTGAACCTCGGGCGGCAACGAGATCTGTTCAAGTGGAGTTCGAGGCACGGTAGCGACGGACCGGTTCTGCAGATCCCCTCGCAGAAGAGCCAGAAGAGCATTGGACTTTTCAGTGTCGACCTGCGGCATATGACTTGGTGGCAATGCTGCTTGAGGCGGTGCAGCTTGCCCTCCAATATGAAGAAGCTCCTTAAGATGTGAGCTTGGGTCGACAACATTAGACTCGGAGACTTCAGGAAGATCACTGATGGCCGGTGGTAAGGACTCTCCAAGGCGTGCCCCAATGCCGTTCTGTTCGTCTTCGGTTGTCACCTCCTCCGGCACCATTGGGGGAGCTGCTAGGTGTGAGCTGTACCGGTTTTCCTTCTTTCGCTGCTGAGCTATCCATTTCTTGAGCGGGTTCAAAAAGGGTGCCACCATATAAAACTTGTTTGCGTTGATTGCTGTGTGATCCGTACCACTGCCGTCATGCTGGCGATGATTATTCTTCTTCAACGTGGGCAAATCTGTCAATTTGTACCATTCGATCTTGCTGATCTCTTTCCGCGTCCTGGGTTCGAAATGTGCATCTCTGGGTACTCCTCGGAAAACATACAGTCTCATGTGCTGTTCTCTCATTGTAACTTCGATATATTTCATATCTTTCTCGTCCTTAACGAGGCCAGCCTCACGAACGTCGAAACCGGTCTCTTCATAGACTTCCCGCACCGCACAATCGAGATCATTCTCGTCCTTGTTGATCTTCCCACGGGGGAAGCTCCAGTTCGCGCTCTTCTTCCAGCCTTTCACGAGAACAACCTCGTCCATGGATTCATTTAGCAGAATAGCGCCTCGGACAGGCACGCGGGATTTGTAGGCCAGGAACTCCGCGAAAGCGGTGGTATGGTGCTGGGCAGACCATTGCGAGAAAAGCGGACAGTGCTGAAATATACGTAGACTGAAGGCGCGTAGAGAAAGAGATGGGAGAGACGGGTCAAGGGGCCGAATGAAGTCTTCATAGAACCATTGCGCCTCCTCAACTTGGAAGCAAATGCGCTCCACAGACTCCAGCTCCTCTGGGGGAAGGTTTATGATGAATCGGACACAGAGGTCATCCAACCCTGGGAACATAGAGCGTTAGCATCTCAAGCAATAAATCACGCTAGGTGAGGCGTCTCACAGTCCTCCAGCTGCATCTCTCGAGTTTGTTGTTGGACGGGAATATCTGTTCATCTCCACTGCGCTGGAGATTGCGGGAGGCAAGAATCACGATTCGGGATCAAACGGGACTGCAGAGGTTACAGCCTCGCGTTCAAGAGTTGCGATGCTGTTGTGAATGGGCGTTTGGCCAGTCAGATCGGAGGGGTATGGTTTGCTACGGTGACTGTGAGACACGCGCAAGAGAAGAGAGTCTAGCTCTCGAAGTCGGTGGCTGTGCAAATTTGCTGTGGCTGGTGTTTTGGCACAGCCACTAAATGACGAATTGAATGACGTTGGCGCGCATGCGGGCGCAGGGAGAGTGTCAGGGAAATGCAGCGCGTAGAAAACCCGTTTGACAGAATCTAAATGCCAATCACTTACCGCAAGCCATCCTGGCTTCTGACAGCACTTTGTTCTTGCGACTCATCTTGTCTTTGTTTGGCAAGACTAAATCTGCAGGGACATAAAGCCACAGATATCATTAGGGTGGTCTTTGTGGGCATTTAAGACCTTCGCCAGCCCTCTTCCCTCGCCTTTCCCACTATACACCTAATTTTCGACTTCCCTGCTGTTCGCGCCTCACAACAACAGACGTCGCAAAGATGACATCTTACGCCGCAAAGCTGGTAGCCAAGAAGCTATTCAAAGAGAATTCAGCCAACAAAGGCGGCCGTGAGGTATGGGACATGAAATCAAGAGCCCAAGTCTCCTCTGACATGACACAGGATCCCTTCTTCGAGACGATACCCGCTACCAGGCTCGGAGGACTCTACAAAACCACAAAGAAGCGAAGAAGAGCTCTCCCTCCAGGCCTGACCCCAGAAGAGGAGAAGATTCTTACCAAGGCGAAAAGACGAGCCTATCGCGTCGACCTTTGCCTGGGAAGCTTTTTGGGCACAAGATTCGGCTGGGGCGCGGTCATTGGCTTGATACCTGGGTAAGTCGAGTGCTGATTCTCTAGGACACATATGCAGTGCCCGACGCTGACGACTATTAGTATTGGTGACTTCCTGGACCTCTTCCTTGCACTGATGGTCTACCGCACCTGCTGCTCCGTTGAACCACAATTATCCGCATCCATCAAAACGCGCATGCAAATGAATGTTCTCATTGACTTCGTGGTTGGGCTCGTCCCCTTTGTCGGTGACCTCGTGGATGCGGCATACAAGTGCAACACCAGAAATGTGGTTCTGCTCGAGAAGGAATTGCGCGCGCGTGGTCAGAAGAGGATTAAGGGTACTCCGCAGGCCAATGTTGCAGACCCAAGTCTTCCAGATGAGTTCGATTACCAGAACGAGGAGGGTAGACTGAATGCCCAGAACGGTCCTCCCCCGAGATATACTTCACGACGAGAGTCCAGGAGGTCAAATCGAGAGAGGCAACGAGACGTCGAAGCCGCGGAAGGTGTACCTCCGCCCATGCCTGCTCGGACCCGTTGAGTTTGCGCGTTGCGAGAGCAAGCCGTGCTCTACCTTGATATGATATTACATTTGAAACTCGGCAGTCAGAGCGATAGCAAACATTGAGCGTTCCTTTTCCTCCTTTGTCAAAGAGTCCAGAAAGAAGAAACGGGGTACTGAGATCGGGTGGGGATTCACGAGCCTCCATATCCGGAGGAATCTTGAGGTTTAATATCCTGCTTCACCCTCGCACATCCGTAGCAAAGAACAGTATTTTCCAATGAGCTCTCGTGATGTGTTATTGCCGGCATTCCACAGACTGGGCAAGTTTTTGTCTCGTGGTTAGCGGTCTTAACTTGAAGTTTACTCGCTGTTCGCACCACGTTTGCCATTATACCAGGGTACTTGACTCCCTGACCGGTGATGTAGTTGCTGAGGAGGTCGTCAATCGAGGTATTGCGAATGGTTGATGGTTGACGATCTGTTATTTCATCCCTCGACTCTACCACCAGAGGGTTTGACAAAACTTGTGCATAAGTCTGAAGCTCAACCTTGAACAGGTCACGAGAGGGATAGTTAAAATTTACCCCATACACGGAGAGTCCGTCGGCGATGGTTGAAGAGACTGACCCACCTCTACCTTTCGCAACATCTGCCAGTGCCAGCGCTGCCAAACGACTATCCGAATGGCCCCACAGCACAGCCTCGCAACTTTGTTGTTTGGCAATTGAGACCAGTAGTCTCCGGAGAAGGATCGATATCAAGTCTGCTCGTGCGGTCACGGATGTAGAAGCGGAGAGTACGCGGTGCAAAAACGTCTCATTTTCTTCGCCTTCGTGACGATCAATCCCGAGATGCGTGAGGGATCGGTCAATTTTCTCGTCCAAGCGGAAGACATCGTGGAGATAGAAGAGTGGGAGAAAGTCGTGCAAAGGAAACCTGCTGCGGACTGCCTGATAGTGCTCCTCGACCTCAGTCCGAGTCTCGGTGTCAGGCAGTACGACCCGAGCGATGATGAGGCCGTAAGCAGTTCGATTGCGATTCTCCACTTGCTTGCGCAGTTGAGCATCAAGCACTTGTAACAGAACAAGAGAAGAGACACCGCCAGAGATTGGGAGAAAGAGCCGGCGCTTTTGATCTCCCGTAAGATTTTTGAAGCGGTACGACTCCATTCGTTTGAGGATTTTGGAGTTTACATATCGGATGAAACATGTAGCACATAGGCGCCGGTGTCTGATATCCAGGCTGGCGGGATGCTCTTGACAGTCGACACAAACGTCGCCCTGAAAGCCTATGGTCATTGCGCCTGGGGGAGTTGATCCCGGAAGATTGTGGATGGGAAACTTGACTGATGGTGAGCACAGATGGACCGAGTTGCAGGGCTAGGATATCTACTGTATGCATGTATGTACAAGGCAAGTTCAAAACTTCAATTACTGGCTTGGGAAAAAAGTTTTGTTAATAATATGGGGCGCATCAGGGCGATGAACGAGGGGAGACTGCGCCGCTTAGACTCGCCGCTTTTAATGCTCCTCCCCTGCGACCAGCATCTCCGGCAAGATTGTTTCCTCCTTACTAGGTAGCCTCCTTTCTATGAACTTGTTAATAAAAGGTGGTTGCTAGAAGCAGCCATTACAGAGAACACCCTATACCAAATCATAGCCAACCGTGAAAGTCTTGGTCGCACCCTGCGCCCAGTGCTTGTCTATATTGCAGGCCAATCACTATTCCCTGCGATAACACGGGCAACCGGATTTAATCCAAATATCCTCCCCGAATATAGGTAACCCTTTTCCAAGGATACGATATGATGATCCTAAGTGCCAGGTGATCAAGAATCACCCAGGCCGGTGGTTCTGTGACGTACAACATACACAACAAATCAAATTCCACGTGTGTGGTAGTATGACGTAAAATAGGATTGTCCACCCCTCCCCCCTTCATTCCCGCGCCTCACAAGACATGGGCGCCGACTGATGCAAGTCGCCGAGATCCAAAAGTCAAAGAGGGTGAGAGGAAGCGAGGTAGATCTAGGCCGTTGATAAGACTGCGCCGTTGTAACCGTAGAACTTCCTTTTGTCAGAGAAGGGTAGCCTGTCCGCCTTGCTCCTCCGCCAAATACACATTCCCCAAGTTTCGCTATTTCTCACCTGGTCCCTGTGCGAATTCCAACTCGTTTCTCTGAACGAGAGTTGACTCTGCTCCCCCGGCAGCATTCACCAAACATTGACACACGCGAAAGCTAAGAGTCATGGGCACGAGCATTATGCAATCAGGCAAAGAACCACCCTCAGGCATACAGGGCAGAGGCACACTAGATGAGCCGTATGACCAAGGAAACGCACCAGGTAGGCAGCCAGTGGACACATCCTGTTGTGCACTCCTCACTGAGTGTCTGCTTGCTGCAGAAAACACCGCCCTCCGTTCAGATCAAGAACCTCTATCAGGCGTGCAGGGCAAAGGCACAGCGACAGAGCCGTACGATAAAGGGAATGCAGGAGGTAAAGTTGTGTGCATCCGTTCTGCAGCATCTCCATAACTAAACCCATTGTAATCGCAGAAAGCACTACATCTTCACAGCCGACGAACGCCCCTGCCTCGAGCGCTTCGGCGGCACAGAAAACTGCCTCCACCAAACCCTCCGAGACAAGAATCAACCCATTGAGCGCGCCGACAAGACGCCCTGCTGAAGAGCGGGACGTCAGCCCCGGGACATTACCGGACGGCTCTCACGCACAAACGAGTGGTGACCGTGGGGAGAGCTACGAGCCAGGGAAGGGACTCCACAGACTCAAGGGCAAGCTGGGGTTTGGAAGACATTAGAAAGAAGCTTGGGTGGCGTATTGCGTTCATCAACGTCATATTTGCGCAGTCTCACGAGATGGGGAGGGCTCTGCGTCTTACAAGCTCTCATAGACCGACCAGATTATGCGACTGCTGTTGTAAGAACATTGCCATTTGGTGGCATTGATCGTCTAGGATATACTTTCGCCCAAGTCCACAGAATTAGCTAGCGGTCGGTCATGTTAGGCTAATGGTGGATTAACCTTGAGCGTAGAAGTACAATAAAGCTGAGGATATGGAAGCGAAATGAAATGCTAGTATATCGCCGTGGTGGAAAGCCAACCCATTCAATCAATGGCTCGTCGTCTACTCGGTAAGAACAACCGAACTACGCCGTGCTACGACTTTATCGGACGGAGAATGTCCGACCTCACGTCAACGCTTACATACCTAAGGGTCCATATAGACATGTTCGTCAATCTTTTTGATTGCTAATTGTTACGATAACTCTGATCTATCTCTATAGGCTTCAAAACCATCTCAAGTTTATTGATACGTCTATTCGATACTCAAACAGCTTAAGTCTCTGTGGATCCTCCTCACCGCCTAGGTCGAGATGTCTACCGTCGACATTCCCAAGCTTGAAGCGGGAAATCTGTTCAATGTCAATGGCCTCGTGGCCGTGATCACTGGCGGTGGCTCAGGTACGGTAGGACCTCAGTCGGCAAGTTCTGCATGTTAACGCCTGTTCCAGGACTCGGTCGCATGATGGCACGAGCACTGGCAGCCAACGGAGCCTCAAAAGTCTTCATTATCGGCCGGCGTGAAAACAGCTTGAAGGAAACCGCTGATTCTATACCGGGAGGCACCATCATTCCCCTGGTTGGAGATGTGACTTCGAAGGCTTCGCTTCAACAATGCTTTGAAAAGGTCAAAGCAGAGGTCGACCATATCGATGTCCTCGTGGCAAACAGCGGGATATCAGGTCCATCAGTGCCGACACTGGATTCCAACCAGAACCCTGTATCCATTGAGCAACTTGCTACGAACATGTGGAAGCCTGAACCGGAGGAGGTGACGCAGACATATGCCATCAATATCACCGGTGTTCATTTCACTATTGCGGCATTCCTCCCACTTCTGGATGCGGCCAACAAGAGGAGACCTGCCCCTACAAAGGACAACTTCACCCCTCGTCCTCAGATCATCACCACGGGATCTATTGGAGGGTTCAATCGCAAGCCTCTAGGGAATCTCAGCTATGGTGCTAGCAAGTCTGGGGTGATGTTTCTTTCCAAACAGCTATCAACGGCGCTCGTGCCTTATGATATCAGAGTGAACACGATCGCTCCGGGACTCTACTACTCGGAAATGACACATGGAATGTACCAAGCTCAAGGGAAGACCGAGATTCACAATGTTGAGGGTACATTCAACAGAGAGGTCGTCCCTGCGACCAGAACTGGCGATGAGCAGGACATGGCAGGAGTCATCTTGTGGCTCTGCTCGCGAGCCGGTGCATACATCAACGGATGTGTTGTGGTTACGGACGGTGGACGACTTAGTGTTATGCCTGCAGCATATTAGACGGGAATGGGTAATATGGGATAGAGAAGGTAAGGTCTCTAGAGGTACCGAGTACGAGGTATAGATTGGACTATGGATTAAGGGGTTAAAGAGGGCCATAACAGGGATTGATGAATCGTATAACTAGACCGTGGCATCACCTCGGAGACAGCCACAATCAAGCACGAGAAATTCGACCCACAGGAATGATTCTAATCCATCCCTTTGATTTCAGGGGAAATGGGTTCATATGAGGACGAGTGATGCCGGAGTTGACAGTTCCGTGTAGAACGATGTTTCGTGCTACCAACGAGCCACAGGTCAGAAAAATTGCCCGCGGAACCTTCCTACTCTGGGTTGGCTAGAGAGTGGCATCATGCAGGAACATCAAATCTGCTTTTCCAGTTCCCGAATCATCCCACCACAATTCCAGCGCCGCAGCCACACCGCCCGCGAATAAGGCTCTACCATTGGCTGTTTAAGGTGCTCTTAGGCATGAACTAAACTCTAGACTAGAACTTAATCGTGCTTAAAGGGTCCCTAGCTGCAGTCGTCCTCCCCCAACAGGGCTCGACACTTTTCGCCTGTCGAAATTTGTGGGCTTCTGCTGCCATCATTTGTTGTCAGGTACCTCGTACATGCCTGGCTGCTTGGTCGCTACAAAAGCATCTCGATATCTCTGTTACTCTCACCGCAAGGACTTTAGAAATCTCTCTACTATTAATTGTTACCTTCCCAGTCGTCAACACCTTGAGGTAGCAGACGAAGTGACTTTCCTGCGATCTTCAACACCGACATCGGCACCGTTTTGTTTGGCGCATCCCCACCAAAATTATCTCGCTCCCCTCAGTGATATTTATCACTCCTTGGTCTCCCCACCTCACCGCCTCCTTTACTCTTCGACAATAAAACGTCCTCTGGAGTTTCTTCACTTTCCCATAGACATACCTTGAATTTGAAGAAACACATTGCCACTAACATCATGGCTTCGCGACCTCAAAACATCGGCATCAAAGCCATTGAAATCTACTTTCCAAGTCAGGTATGCTAGAACGACAGCAGACTGGCTATTGAACTGAGCAGCCGCTAATTCATACCCAGTGCGTGGACCAAGCCGACCTGGAGAAGTTCGACGGTGTCTCGGCCGGTAAATACACCATTGGCCTGGGGCAGACAAGAATGTCCTTCTGCGACGACAGAGAAGGTGAGTGGCAAAGCTTCCCAAGATGCCCAACTTGAGACCCGACTAATCCAAGCACAGACATTTATTCCATCGCCCTTACCACTCTGACGAGTCTGATCTCAAAGTACTCTATCGACCTGAAAAATGTTGGGAGGCTAGAAGTTGGCACAGAAACCATGCTGGACAAGAGCAAAAGTGTGAAATCAGTGTTGATGCAACTATTCGAAGAGTCGGGCAACTTCAACGTTGAGGGCGTCGACTCGTACAATGCTTGCTAGTAAGTTCTGGATGATTGTTGCAGTGTAGAGGGGCCGGGAATCTGACGCGCTGCAGTGGCGGTACAAACGCAGTCTTCAACTCTCTCAACTGGATCGAATCATCTGCATGGGACGGAAGAGACGCTCTCGTGGTTGCCGGCGACATTGCCCTTTACAAGAAAGGGAATGCTCGTCCAACTGGCGGCGCCGGCTGCGTGGCCATGTTGATCGGCCCGGATGCTCCTGTTGTCTTCGAAGCTGGTCTCCGGGGTTCCTACATCACCCATGCCTACGATTTTTACAAGCCTGATCTGACCAGTGAATATCCTTATGTTGACGGACAATTTTCCCTGAGGTGCTACACCGAGGCCGTTGATGCATGCTACAGAGCGTACAATGCCCGGGAGAAGGTACTCAAGTCACAGGCTAATGACGTCAATGGACATGCGCATGTTAATGGAAACGGCGTGCGCAAGGAAGATGACGAGAAGGCCCCTATGGATCGATTCGACTATATGGCCTTCCACGCCCCCACCTGCAAACTTGTCTCCAAATCGTACGCCCGGCTGCTGTACAACGATTTCCTCGAAGATCCAAGCCACCCCCAGTTCAAGGAGGTTGCACCCGAGCTGCGGGATTTGGACTACCAGGCATCTCTGACGGACAAGACTGTCGAGAAGACGTTTATGGCCTTGACCAAGAAGCGCTTTGCCGAACGAGTGCAGCCTGCCATTCAAGTGGCCACCATGTGTGGTAACATGTACTGTGGCAGCGTTTACGGTGGGCTTGTCGGACTGATCAGCAACATTGCCCCGAAAACACTTCACGGCAAGAGAGTTGGAGTCTTCAGTTACGGTAGCGGTCTCGCCAGCTCCATGTTTAGCCTAAAGGTCGTTGGTGACACGACAGAAATGGCCACAAAGCTCAATCTTCAGGAACGACTAGACGCCCGACGGGTCGTTGCACCCGAAGTGTATGACGAAATGTGTATGCTCCGGGAAAAGGCGCATCTCAAGAAGGATTTCAAACCATCGGGTGATGTCAAGCATCTTGTGCCGGGAACATACTACTTGACCGAGGTCGACGAGATGTTCCGACGAAAGTATGAGGTCAAGGCATGATTGCCGTCATCAGCAAAGAAGGGACTTGTCATTCTTGCTCCAGATCTTGCGTTTCAGGTTCGGACGCCGGACTTGCATTGGTGGACCGGGTAGACTGGTCATTCGATAGAGGCAGATAGGCGTTCCAGTGCATGGTTGATTGGATCAGGACTGCTGGTGGTATTGGGCCCAGCACAAACTTGTACATATGGGGGATTTGCTTCAGACATCCTGACCGGCAGGAACTCACCTGAGCATTAATCGATCAGCAGAAGAGCAAAAGCGAATTACCATGAAGCATTGTTGCCCATATGAAGAGTCTTGAAACTGACGCTGTGCAGCATGAGTCTTGTGTGTCATGCGGCTACTCTGGCATGCATTGCACCTCAGCCCGGAGTCGGCCAGTATCTTGACCTGTTTCGAGCCTGACGTTGGCAAGATGAAACATGGGCTCGATCCCAAAGCCGCTGGGCACCAGTGAGAATGGAGTGGGCAATGTTAGAGTGATACTCAAGCGATGCAGGAAGACGACAGATGCATGCAACGAGGAGGTTGGGTCGAGAGAAAGACGTTATCATACTCCATAGTCGTTCAACGTTCGCGTGTTGTTCGTGCTGGGACTATGCGGAACTACTGCAGCAGATGCATAAGATGCGTAGTTGGTGCAGGTGACTTGGTGCCAATTTCGCGCGTGGACGGCGAGGCGGTGAACGCGCGCACTCCAGTCCTTGGCAACGATATCGGAAAACCTGCCCGATATACTCAGTGGTTCTGCCTGCGCTGCGCCACCTTCGTCCCTCCACCCCTCAGGGTATTTTTTGCATCGCGCGCCAATCTCACCACCAATGAAATGCTGTATGTCGCTATAGAATCTCCAAGCGCCCTCGATCTGAGGGACAAGGTTGGCATTGAGATTCTTGCTGGATCTCGCACCGCGCTTCAGCCACGCCCTGCACCCCCCTCGTGTACTCTTTCATTTCCTCAGACTGCCGCAGCTGCCGCCACCACGGCCACTACTCCTGGGCCTCATCGAACAGCCGCCAAGTCGCATGTCTTCTCATCTCTCGAAATAACCAGGCAAGCGCCGTCACAGATTGCCTCGTAAGACATGATGAAATCGCCCGGAGCCTTGTTACACTCCATCTGAGCAACATCGCAGCCTCAGGCCACGCTTCTGCCCCCCAAAATAGCTGCACATGGCGCAATGTTTCCATACCTCTGGCGCGTACCACGCTCCACGCTTCGCGATCGGAAGGCGATCCTGACCATCGTTGGTTTTCCAGCATAGGATTCTCGAACACCGTGTCAGTCGTGTTTGTTTCCTTGCCATCTTGCTCCACGTTTCAGGTGGGTATTGACCCGCGGGACACTGTTGGCCGGCTGTCATGATGCTCGATTTCGGTCGCATACCCCCAACCCATTTATACCCAGTCCTCCCTCCCTCTCAAGATCTCTGAGCCTTTCATTCTTTCAAGTTGCGAGACTGAAGATTCAGTCTGCCTGCTATTGGTAATCCCATCTGCTTTTCCTCTTGTACCTTTCCTTTGTTCCTTGGGTCCTTGTCTCCACCCCGAGAAGCTGGCTTCTCGCTGACCACTACGTTCTCCCGGACTCGACCAAAAAGCTATCATATGTAAGCCGTCTTCACGATGCTGCCTGGCTGCAACCATAGATGCTGATTGGGTCTCAGAATGTCACTGGCACCTTACTACTATAGACCACTCACGCCTCCAGAGGCTGCTGGAGCTGCTGGTCAGCACAGCCATATTCGGAATGTGTCTCGCTCGTCCTACTTTGCAGCCGACAGCTCGCCTGAGCCGGTAATTACTGCTTGTAATACAACTCCCAGTCGATCGCCAGTTCTCCGTCAACATGGCCCGACTTTGCTCCCTAAGATCAGGACCCAGGACTCGACTCTGGAGCCTCCGTTCGTTCATCGACCCTCCATCCACCGAAGGAGCTCGTCGACCGTCATCAAAAACTCCAAACATGCTCGCCCTAACATGTATAGGAGCGCGACTGAGCCTGTTGAATATACACCGATGATATCTCCCGTGTCGAATGCGCCTCACTCGCGCTCGAACTCACTCAATCCATCTCCTGGATTGGCCAAGGCCAAGCTCAATGTGCCCGTAAGGACTCATTCCCGCTCGACCTCTGCATCGAGCATCAACAGCGATGTTCTGAATCGTTTTGGCTATCCTACTTATCGCCAAATGCCCGTCTATGTGTCTCACGATCACCAAACCCCGTCTCCGGACCTCTTCGCCACCAACTTTATGCCATATACCAATGCTCCCATGGCTGAGCCTCCTATTATCAATTTGGAGGGCACATTTGACATGCCGATTGATCTTGAGACGATCTCGAGACCCTGCTCTACGAGTCCTCCTCCCATGCTGCCAGCCGTCTCTACGATCAGTATGCTCAGCTACTTGACCCAACCAACGCAGCCCATCAACCTAGTTCGGCATCTCACCTTCCAAACCGGCCGTGGTCTAACGAACCACTTTTGGTGGGATATTCGCAACGTCCGACCGTGGAAATCGTTTTCGCTCCAGACCATGTCTGCCATCCCTGATCTTCTGACGCTTCTTAATTTCGAACACGATAAAGCCTGCCTACCACTGATGGGCACCAACGCCAACACTGTGACACCTGCCTCTGAAGCCGATCTCGCCAATCTCATTTCCAAGATCTACTTTCCCAAGGTCAACGCTGCCACACGTCTGTCCCTCGGTACCAACTCTGTCGCTCTGTACCCTGCCCCAACCCCAACAAGCTCTGGGTTGAGTGCCAACTCGGCCAACATTCCCACCTTTCTGGCTAATTACCCGAGCGACAATGACCGTACACTCTCAGGACTCCCGCGAGGTCGCGTCGTCGGCTTGGTCCGGTCTTTTGATCGCTGGAATACAGGCATGCGCCGTGAAGGCCCTGCACGCAAAGTCGAGTATCTACGCACTCTGGCGCATCTGCAGAAATGCATGCGAGACCACAGCTGCCGTTATGGCTTCATTATCACAGAGATCGAACTCGTCTGCGTCCGTGCCGGATGCGACGACCGTGGCCATCCGTATTTCGGCTACCTTGAAGTTGCGGAGGCGGTGGAGACCAAGACCTTTGCTCGCAAAGGGAACGAGGCAGCAGGTGAAGTTGACATGACTGTCACTTTGGCTCTGTATTATCTTCTTATGCTCGCCAAAGCGACGCCTTTGCCCGGCCAGCTGGGGAGCTTCATGGATGTGGGCGGTCCCGGAACACTGACTCGACAAAGAGTCTGGGATGGGGAACTCGGTGGTAGTATGCTCGCGGTCGATGAGGACGGAGATGTCGAGGAATTGGGAAAAGATGGCAAGGACAAGTGGATTCCTGAACCGCAGATGGGAGAGAAACGGGAAGCGAGGACGGTAAGGGGATGGGTGTGGCCTAGCGACCCGTGGCACAAGAGAGAAGGCGAGCGTGGAGAACGTGGAAGCGGAAGGGGGGGAAAGAGAGGATAATCTTTACTCTGGGTATTCCTGGAGAGAGAAAGCTACGAAGGTGGTTATGAAAAATGGGAGAGGTCCTGGATTTGAGTATGGATTTATAACCGATGCCATCCAGGTGATGAGCTCGATGCATAAGGTCGTCGAGACTTCGGAACGCGAAATCTTGGGTATTACAGACTTGGTAATTAAACTACATTCACGAAATTTGCCCTAGACCCCTCTGATACAGCTCGGTCCCTTTGGATATTCATGACAGGGTTCGGATAAAGTATTTTGTTCATCTGTATCAATGGTTGAGCGAAAAGTCAGCAGAGGATTCTTGTAATGAGCTTCTAGGTAATGAACAGGAACAGATCAAAAGAATCGTGCATTGTCTCTCGTGGCTCCTCATACTGTTGAGACTTGACATAATTTTTAAAGTCACCGACGGATGGCTTGACATTGCCGGATCCGCCTCGTCAGTTATCGTTTGAGCATATAAGTAAAAATCATCGGAGCTTTCTTCTCAATGCACGGACGGAGTGAAGAGAAGGGAGTGAAGGGAGAAGACGAAGGGCGGCTGCTGGCTTACCAAAGAAGGGCGATAGGGGTCAATGTGTTGGTAGGACGGCGAAGGGGCCGAATTACTCGAGAAGAAATTCACGGAGATGAGAGATGGAAGAGCAGGAAGAGCGTCAACGAAACACAGAGAAAAAGAATAATGATGTCGGTGGAACTTTTCTTGGCGGGATCTGGCTCTGCAGCAGCAGCGCCAGGCGGTCGTAGTAATAATTAGTACGAGTAATCAATTAGGACTGGTACGTACTTGTGTGTTGGTGGTACCCTTAGGCCCGCGGGGTCACAAGCACGCCTCTGCTCGCTCTCTTGTATACACACTCTCGACTGTTTTCCCCCCTTGCACCAACCACCATTACTGCACAAGCAAGCCCACAAAATTCCAGCGTCTGCGCACCGCGCCCTCCCTCACCCACCACCAAATTCTTTCCGAGTCACCTGTTTGACGGAGATAAAAATCGCCAACAATACGGTCAAGATGGGAGGTATGTTTTTTGAGCCCCTCGCAGCCCATCGTCTCGACCTGGCTGGCTTTCCTACCGGCGAGCGCACGTAATATTCTCTTCAGGAACTGTGTGGACTAACAGGGAGGTTCATACCTGGAAAAAATACAGACTTCCAACAAATCGCCCGTGAGCATTCTTCCTGTCCCTCCCGAGAAACCCTGAGCAGTACCCTAATGCGATACAGAGCAATTCGTCGAGTTCTACTACAAAACCTTTGACGGCGATCGCACGCAACTGGCTGCCCTCTACGTACGTTTTCACGAACCCATTTTGCGCCTGGTCTGCAAGTTGAGGAGGGAGGATGGGAGGAAGAAAAGAGCTATAACAATTTTTCTGACACGACCGTGCGCATACAGAGAGAGAAATCGATGCTTACGTTCGAGAAAGAACCTTTTTTGGGCACACAGTCTATTCTTGAGAAGCTTACGGTACGTCAACGTGGTGGACTCTTCTCGAGCAATCATTACAATGTCCAGGGCAAGAGTCACTGATGCGGAATGGTATCGCAGAATCTACCTTTCCAAAAAGTCCAACACCGGGTCGACACGACAGATGCGCAGCCATCCAACGAGCAAGGAGGCATCTTGGTTATGGTGACTGGTGCATTACTGGTAGGTCTTCAAAAAATCTCACCTCGATGGCTTCTCGCTGGCAGCAGGGTCACTGATGGACACTATACAAACAGGTCGATGATCAACAACATCCCATGAGCTACGTCCAGACGTTCAACCTGCAACCCGAGGGCGGCAGCTACTTCGTGTTCAACGACATCTTCAGACGTAGGTGGAATCATTCATGACGAAGCAGGCGTCGAAAATGCTAACGAGTCTCGGTAGTGGTGTATGCAGCAAGTGGATAGATCCATCGCCGGCACCATGAACGGGTGGTACCGATTCTGACATTCTGCAAATCGCGGGTCTCGAGCAAGGGTGCGGTGCACATGATAGGTCAACAAGCATAGCAGATGGCGCAGCGTGGGCAGGAACGACAGTGTAGGGATTGAGCAGAGAGTAAGGATACGGGAGAGATGCAGTGGTGATGTGATGATAGATGGGCGCATGGGGGACATAACCACCAACAACAAATTACGTCCCGATGCACGTGCCTAGCAAGCGACAACTGTTGACAAGGCTGCCACAATTCCAACTTCTCCCGAGTCCTTGTAAATGAGTTTCCCGGCTGCCCGAGTGGCCTAGCATGGTTTGTTGGCGGTCCGAGACGCCTACGACGCCATACGCGGACAATAAGACTTTGGGAGGGTGGAGGTGGTTCTGATGGCGCCACGCGCTCCTTCGGTTGTGGGTGCGCAGTCAGGCTGCTACATTTGCGTCTGCATCCCATAAGAAACGGTTGCTGGAACGATTATTGTCGAAACCCAGAATCCTTCGTCCAAGTCTGAGATTGAGCCGCCGAAGAAAAGGTTCTCGTACCGAGTTCTAGGTACACGTACGGGCATCCATCCAACCTCCTACTAGTAAAGAGGCCCCCTCCAAAATATTATTATTGTGGTCCTCGTTAAGCACCCAAGCAGCTTGACCTGCGCTAGTCTCGACGCCTACGCCTAGTTACGGTTCATCCCTGTCTCTCCGGTGTTGCACCTGCCACAACATCCCAAGCAAACCAAGTCCGTCATCCGTCGTCGACAACTTTTGATCAGACACAGACATCTTTGCAACAGCAACAGCAACAGCCCATTCACCTCTGATCCCTCCTATACCCTTACATTCACGGCCTACATACAAATCGACATAACGATTCAAGTCAGCATTGCCTCCGCGACGAGCGAGCCAGATTCAAACCGCGCAACAACATAGTTCAGCTGCATTGAAAGAACAGTGCCGTTGTGCCACATCTGTCCTCTTCGACTTTCTCAATTCCTGATCTTTCCCCCGGTGTCATTGGACGAGTAGATATTCACGATGGCGCTCATGGACGAGTTCAAAATGCGCAACTTTAGTGAGTTTCTCTCTCTTTTGGTCGGTGTTGCGACCTGCGTTGGACTGGAGCTGACAGTTGTCCGCAGGCATCTATGGGCAGTGGTAAGAAGTCCCTTGGTCACTCCACGCCTCCTCGCCCACGATCTCTTGTGATCTTTTGCGCATCAGGATCTTTATTATGAAGATATCCGCGCTTCTCATCCCCGATTGAACGAATCGTGGGGCATGGCTAGGGGCCGGCTACAGGTCATGGAACAAGATAGGCTGACATGTGTATCAACAGGCTCGGAGTACTATGCATCATCCTGGGATTTGCCTTGGGTATCGCCAATATCTTCCACTTTAACCTGCTCATTCTATTCAGCATCATCCTACTGTGCGTCTCTCCCCGGCCTTCACAAATCACGATGTCGTATGACTGACACTTGAGCGCAGTTGTTCCTCCCTGGTTCTCATCTTCATCGAAATTCCACTCTTGCTACGTATCTGCCCTACATCCGCCAAATTCGATGCCTTTATCAAACGCTTCACCACGAACTACATGCGCGCCCTTATTTACGGCCTCATGTCCCTGGTTCAGTGGCTCAGCATCATCGTGGAAGCCAGCAGCTTAATTGCCGCCGCCGTAGTATTGGCCCTCGCGGGAGCTTGCTATGCACTGGCGGGGTTGAAACAGCAGGAATTTGTGGGAAGCACGACACTAGGTGGACGCGGTGTGGCCCAGATGATTGTCTAGTCGGAGGCTTGTCCACCCTTTCTTCTCACCGTGCCATCTTATCGAGTTCAATGGGACAAAAAGTGATTTGACAATGGTGTACTTCTAGCGGCGCGCATGGACACACATTGGTCGAGCGCGAGGAGTACGGAGTCAACGGGAACGATATTTGGATGACCAGGCGGAGTGTTTCCTAGAGCTCCAAGAATTTTATGATGGTGGTTCATGAGATGCCGCTGATGACAATACAGGAGGCTGGATAGTTATTTGTGCAATCAATAGGATCCAATTCAGGCCCGGAAAAAGTGTCTCTGATTGTCCATGTGGCATGAGACATGAGACTATAAATTCGTCAAGGATCAGAAGGAATGCAGGAAGGGAGGGTGGCACCGGGTGCCACCTACGGAGTCTGGGAGTATAAGCATGGCTGTCTCGCTGTTTGCGGAGTCTCACGCCGCTTGAGCAAGATATAATAAGCTCGTCTATCGTATGCAATGCTGCTTAGGTAGTCTTTGCTCTGACTATCATGTCCACTTGCTTTTGGCTGTGCTCGTGTGCGGTCGTGCAATAAACTCGGCTCCGAGTCTCTTGATCGGGCAATCAAGACAAAGAAGACTTGGTCCCTTGTCTAAAACACCCCTTCAATATCACCCGTCCTTTCGTGTCATCATGTGCGTCAACAAACCACCGTTTTTGGTGCTTATACCTCTTGTGGCTTCATAAGAGTGGGGAGGAGAGACCGGATCGTGATCGACCGGAACTTTGCAACGATCTTGGTCCGCCTGGTACCTAATCCGTCCATTGGTAGGCTGGGGATGGCGCAGACCCCGAACGTGGGCACCGACGCAGAAGAAAGGGTACTTACTACTCGTCCTGTACCGAATACTCAAGGGTAGGCTGAACAGTAGTAAGCAGGCGTGGCAGGTGAGCACGGGTGAGCACCGGCACGCAGCCAGCAGCCATAGGACCCACGCTACAGCGAGGATGGCTTGCCGAAGCTTCGAGGGGAGGCGGTCGGAGGCGTCCTTTGCATCTCTTTCTTGTGAGAGGCTGAGGGAACGGCGAGTGAACAAGGCCATCGTGTGGCGTGCTAAACCAGAACCAGTCCAGTTTCCAAGGCCCGAGATGAAGGCTGTGTTTCGTGTTTGGTCTTTGTTTTCGAGTTGGGGCCCCCAGGGCTGGCGGTTCTTTTTCCTTGCGAAGCTTTGGGCCCCCCAGACCCAAAATGCCTGATTTGCCCCAAATGTTGCCCAGACTTTTCCTCTTGGTGTGCTGCTATTCTTTGAATTTGCGGCTGAGGAGCGTCTGGGCCTTTCAAACCTTCGGGGGGTTCCTTGTAGCTCTGCTTTGGTGCGAAGCGAGGAAGCAGCCCCGTTTAATACCGTCCCCTCTCGTTTCCTGACCTTGTCCCTGTCCCCTGTGCCTAGCCTTGGACTCGACCTCTTCGAATGGTCAACTTCGGATTTCTGGCCTGAAAAGTCCCCAAAGTCATCCTCATCGGGAGAAAGAAAAGAAGAAAAAAAGGCCCAAAACACTTTTCGCGTGAGAAATCGTGACACCTTCTCGACTATCTATCTTATCACAGACCAACAGTGACAAAGTCGAAACAACAAGGCGCAAATGAGCGAGAAGAAGAAGATGATAATGATGACGACGATGACGATGATGGATTAACCTGAGCAAAGAACACTCCAACAATGTCGCCTTCCGCCGTTTCTAGCCTAAATCATGGAAGAAGACAGTCGAAGCAGCGCCTTCCTCGATGTTCCCATCACCGAAGCTGAACGCCGTGCTCAAGTTGCTCGGGCGGCCGTCAGAGACGACAGCTCCAAGCAACTGTTACCAGAGGTCAGACAACCCTCGTCAGAAGAATCCCAGCAGCCGTCATCGTCGGCGACGGCGACGGCGGTCGATCAACAGCAACAACCACCAGGTCCCTTTCGTTTTCCCTCAATACACGCTCCTCCAGTCGCCAGACAGTATGCCCCGAGATTCTCGCAGAGACCAGGAGTTCGCAATTATGTTCCCATCTCCCCAGTCCCAGAAGAAGACGAACCCGAGTCCATCAAACTCCGCCCGTTCTCGGCTGCCGCTACGGACGATGCCTATCTCCTCCCTTCAACGGGACCGATGCCGGTCTTGTGGACTCCCATCTGGTTGAAGCAGTGGTTTCTGGGTCTCTTTGCCCTTATTTTTGTCGCATTTCTGATCGCGCTAATCCTCCTCTGGCACTTTGATGCAGAGAACGATGGCTTCCATATCGACCCCGGGACGAACCACTATACCTGGACCTACACGCCTACGGTCATTGTCGTCGTCGTCGTGGCCGCGTGGAGAATGGTGGATTACCATTCTAAACTGGCTATGCCCTACGACGCGCTCCAAGACGGCCCGGTCAAACCGTCTGAAAGTCTTTTAGTCGACTACATCTCGACCTTTCAGCTTGTATCATTACTCGAAGCGTTCAAAAACAGTCATTTTGCCGTTATTGCGTCGGTTACCGGTTTTATCTTATTAAAAGTTGTCACGGTGTTTGCAACGGGATTGTTGGTGGCTCTTCCAACAGAAGTGGTTCAAAAGAGCGCGACTGTGCATGCAAGAGGCTTCAGCGCCGCCTCGTTCGACCCGAATGGTGTACTCGATTCTTCGACGTTTCCGGCTCAGCCGGTGTATGCGTACTACGGCAGTATGGCTCAGGGTGTGCCTTTGGAAAATGGCGTTAGGTTTGATCTGGCATACAGTGCCTTGACAGTCAGCTCCGACACCCCGATTGGGAACGATGCGATCATATCTGGTGAAGTCGATGCGTTTGTACCCAATATGACATGCAAAACAATAAATGTGCAGTTGCAGTCTCCGCGAATTGTGAACGACACAAACTCAGCGAGCGCATTTGCGACCTCGACCAACATCACCTTCAACATCAATGCAGGCGATGTGTGCCGCCAACTTTCTTCAGTCAGCGTTCCAGCGGATAACCCCTATACTGAGATTCTCCCGAAGCGCCAGGTTACAGGCACGATGCAGCAGATCTTCTGTGGAGGCACAAATGCCAGTGTACCTAATTCAGATGGCCCGGAAGGACTGTTGTTCACCCTTACCGACATCAATTATCAGCAGACACTATTCGACAATGCGACTGACCTCGCAGGGGGTTCATTTACCATCGCCAGTGGCGTTTCCAGGACTCTTAACGACATAACGAATGTGTTTTGTGTTCCTTCGTATTCAATGGCGAGGGTCCAGGTTACGAACAACACCCAGCTACTCAACAATAATGCTGCTGTAACGGTCACCTTGAAAGATGGAGACAGCAATAGCACACTCTCGGGATTTTCGGCTTGGAATGCCACCAATGTCCTTTCACAATCCTCAATTGCCGCACAGGTCCTCTTTGACGATACGGTTAACGATGACACTATTTCTGATTCGAGCGCTATATTTACGCTCATGGCGCTGACGCAGGGCTCACAAGACATCGCTACTTTGAAAAACCCAGAAACAATGATCGCAGCTGCTCAAGACACGTCCAATGGACTTTTATCTCAGTATGCTCATCAAGTTCTGAGAGCGGTAGACAGCCCCAGTCTGGAGGGGGGAAAAGTGACTCGTCAAGAACAGAGGCTTCGGGTCAACGACGTTTCTGTGTGGACAATGGCTTCAGCATCCGGGTTCCTGTTCCTGTTCTGCATTGCCTTGATTTTCATCGCCCCGCGAGCGGTTGTTCCCCGAGACCCAAGCTCTATCGCGGCGGTTGCGACAACCCTGACTAGAAGCACCGAGTTGAATCGATTATTGAGGAAGCAAGGAGCACCGAGCCGTGCGAATCAAAAGGCAGTCCTTGCAGGTTTCGAATTTGGGACAGCCATCGCGACCACCGATTCTGGGACGAGGAGCTTCAAGATTGTCACGTCAGAAGGCGAGCCAGACGAACCGGTCACCAAGCCGTCTATGGATATTATCAAGTGGTGGGTACCGATTAGCGCAACCTTTCCATTCTTGACGCTCACATTGATTCTGCCCGCGGGCCTCATTGTGGCATTGGAGCTCATTCAACGGCAATCGGACGATCATAATGGGTTTTACACCGTCGCGGACGACAAGTGGACGGAAATCTACAGTCATTACATCCCCGGCCTCGTCATGTTGATTTTGGCAGCGTTGATCAATATGCTTGACTTCAACGTGGCGTTGTTCACTCCGTGGAACAACCTTGCCGAAGGAAATGCGATCCATAGAAGATCAGTCCTCAACAACATTCTCGGGAGATCGCCGCTATCTGCATTCTTGCAGGCCCTGAGGACGCGGAGCCTCGGTGCCATGCTGAGTATCACCGCCGCAGCCGCCGCGAGTGTCCTTACAGTGATTGCCTCGGGCTTGTATTACGTCCAGCACTTCTCGGTCGAAGGGGCGAGTATTTCGCTTACTCAAGTTGACTCTTTCGATCTTCAGTGGCAGAACAGCTTCTCTAATGACAACGGGGCGGCAGCCATCACGAATCTGATCATGCACCAGAATTTCAGCTATCCACAGTTTACGTATGAGGGTCTCGTGTTTCCAAAGCTGTCGCTGAACAACTCCGCATTGACGACGAATTCACTCACAACAGTGTCTGGATCATCATCCCACGTGCTCCCAGCTGTTCGAGCAAATCTCAAATGCGACGTTCTTCCGAGTGACTCTTTCTCCTTATCCACAGAAAAGGCGGGCGACGGGAGCGCGTACGCGACGGATCAAGCATTCATCACAGCCAGAGCAGCACTTCCCGACTCGTGCCATCTCGGCGGCTCCAAAGGTACAGATGACTTTGTTCTCTATCAGAACAACTTCGAATTACCGCCAGGTGGGAAGGGAACATTTGCCGGAGCTCAATTGGATCTGTTGTTTGGCGAGAATGCAACAACATATGGCAATTATGGCGAGAATCGTGGTCAATACATAAGTGATAATCCTCCTGTTGGTTGTCCCAGTCTGGCATTCACTTTCGGCCACTTCCAGGTGGACAGCACGGACACAAGTCAAGTGACGACAATGGTGTGCTATCAACAAATCCAGGGCCTCAACGCAAATGTGACCCTGCAGCCAAACAGCACGACCATTGATGCCAGCCATCCCCCGGCTGTGGATGAGAGCAGCATCTTCCTCCACGACAATCCGCTTAGCAACAACAGCGGTGTGAAGACGTTCGATTTTCGCATCCAGAACAACCTCGCTCAGGAAATGACCGTGTTCAATGGCGCGGGTGGCACACCGGCAACTAATCCTTCGAGTACAAACACGTTTGACATCTTCTTCCAAGCAATAATCAACGGCTCCGAGCCCCACGATCCAGCGTCTTTAGCCGGCCCAAACAATCAGGATGTCCTCATTGGCGCAATCAACCGATTTTATCGAATCTACATGGCACAAGCCATCTCGGCAAACATGCGCGGCCCCGTCAACAGCCTGGGCACTCCATCCCGCCTCTTTCGACGCCAGAGCTCTTCCACAATAACCTCGGCGACCACAGTAGACACCCCGCGCCTCGTCCAGGACAAGGACAGCAAACTGATCCTACAGATCCTCCTCGGTATTATGACGGCCTTGGCCGCATCGGCATGGCTGACGACGAAGTTCCGCCGCGTCCTACCGTGTAACCCGTGCTCGATCGCTGGGACCATGTCCCTCCTCGCGGGCAGCGACTTGTGCCACAGCACCGACGACGGCCTGTGCGAATGCTGCGGGAAACCCCGTCGACGGTCATTTGGATACGACGCCGGCAACAGACCGGAATCAATCCACGCAGGGCCCGACGAGAACAGCGAGGACGCCGACGAACGCCACCAGATCATCTCCAACGGCGCAGAGTGGATGCCCGCGTCCCAGTTCGCAACGGTCTTTGGCGGGAACCGCTACAGTATGGGCTGGTGGCGCGAGCGGCGACTCATAGGCAAGAGACGGCGGTTCGGCGTGGATGTGGGTGCTCGTGCCGACGGCGCTGACGACCAAGACTGGGAGTTGGGAAGTAGGAGACCCGAGGGCCACGGATTCAGCGACTTTATGATGAGGGGCGGCGACCGCGACGGCCGTGGCGAGTACGCGAGATTTGGCGGCCGCTCGCGAGGCGCCAGCATCAGTGACCCGACCAACGAACCTCCTTCTGGGGTGATAGCCATGGGTGGTGCGAGAGCTGGACCTGGACCTGGACCCGGACCGACAACAACCATGCCCAGGCAACCCGCGCCGGGGATCTTCGTGACCGACACGGGCCGGACGGGCCAGCCACAGCAGCAGCTCTACCAAGATTCGGGCGAAATAGGCATGCCGGGCCGACGAGGTCCTGTCGGCGGCGAAGCATAGACTTGTTCTCGATCTTTGATCTTGATCTTGATCCTGATCGTGACTTGAACTAGGGGTGGATCTGGAATGGATACAACTCGATTCGCTCAAAGCTCCCTCTTCTCACAAGGGTTTCTTTTTTTTTTTCTTTTCTTCTTGACCATGTCAATCATAACGAACGATTTCACCCGATGTTTGGTGTTTTGGCGTTTTTTTTTTTTTTTTGTTTTTTTTTTTTGGAGTGATTTGATGCTTGGGTTCTTCTGGTGCGGCTGGGAGGGTGGACATCAACTATATATATCTATTTTATATACCGTATACCATATACCCACATATACTCACTTGGTATACCTGTCTTGATTCATTTCCATGAGGTTACCATCGATTGCGACGAGGCGCGCTCTCTTCTCTCTTTCTTGAGACAAGGGAAGTATTTGGAAAAGAAGAAAAGGGTTGGAATTAGGAGGTAGGAAGAGAGTAGACGAATTCAAGGAAGCAACAACAAAGCTTTTTGTCATTCGGGTCATACGATACGTCTCCTGAGTAATGTAACCGAGTATCTATCCATTGGGGAAAGGCTCCATACATTTATCTTAAAAATACTCGTAGTTGCATTGAATGTCCCTGTCTCATAAACCGATCATTTTCACGTTGTTGCGCGGGTGCCCCTCCCCCCTCCAACCAGGTAACCAAAAGGGGTCTCTCCATAGGCGAGCGAACGAGTCAATAAGTCGCAGCCAGCCTCATGACCAGATAATCCCCGCTGTTGATGCCGTCGTACTTCTTGCCCGTCTCCTCCCAGGTGCCCGGGAGGGCCTCGATCCAGCGGTCGAAGTTGGGGTTGCAGAAATAGGCGATGCTGTAGCGGGCGGGGACCGTGGCGTCGGGGTCCTCGTCGTCGAGCAGCTCGGCTTTGGGCGGGGGTTGGATCACGCGGTGGTTCGTCGATCGGATCTGGTCGTTGCTCCAGCGCTGGAGCAGGTCGCCCGCGTTCACCACGATGGTGCCCGGGATGGGCGTGGCGCGCACCCACGTGCCCCTGGGCGACTTGACCTCGAGGCCGCCAATGTCGTCCTGGAACAGCAGCGTGATGGACCCGTAGTCCGAGTGCTCGCCCGCGCGGACCTGGTTCGGGTTCGCGCGCCAAATACTCTTCTTGACGGGCGGGTAGTGCAGCAGCCGTAGCGTATTGTCCCCGCCGTCCGTGTAGCTGTCGAAGAAGTGTTCGTCCATGCCCATGCCCAGGGCGATGGCGCGCATGACGTTGACATGCAGGTCCTTCAGCGTGAGGAAGAACCGTTGCATGTCCCGCGTAAAGGCCGCGCCAGCTTCGTCCAGGTGGGCCGGCCACTGGTTGGGTTTCCCCTCGACGCCCTCACGGCCAATCTCCATCGACTCCTTCAGATCCGGGTTGGAGGCACGCAGTTTGGCGATGACATCCGGGTCACTGGATTGCGTCACCTTTTCGCGGCCCGAGGTCACGTAGCCGCGATTGGCGTCCGGGGTCGTCCATCTCAGCGCGTCCTTCTGCTCCTGGGGCCGCTTGAAGAACTCGGCCGACTGTGAGAAGGCGTGCGAGATCTGGTCCGCGGGGACGCCGTGGTTCTGCAGGTACAGGAAGCCCGACGTCTGGAAGGCGTGGGAGATTTGCTCGGCCGTGGCCTTTTTGGCGGCTGGAGAACCGTGCAGAAAGGCCCCAAAGTCAATCAACTGGGCCACTAAGTCAAAAAAACATGGCCTGTATGGTCGAAAGGGGAAGGTGGTGTATCTGGGGGGGGGACTTGTAGAAGAAGAAAGGGGCAGGTGGTGCAGAATGTTCTGTGGACAAGGGCCTCCAATGGCGGCGGACTAGTGGGGGGTCTGGCATGCTGCGAAGCACCTCGTCAAACGAAGCACGACGTTGTACCGAGTTACGTACCGGCATGATCAAGTCATCCTGTTCCACACCCTTTTGAGCGACTTCACCTGCTGAACCCATCTTTGCGTCGCAAGGCTGAAGTGGGCCCCAAGAGAGGTTTGATTGTGTACGGTAGGGGTCTTGGATAGGTCCGGATCTCGTGCTCGTACTCGTACTCGTAGTGGAGGTTGCGACGAAGGGAGGGTGTGTGTTTACCGACGACTCCAGGAGATGGATAGGCAGTGGATGTATGCGCGTGTGTGTGTGTGGATGTTGTTCCCCAAGTTCCGCGACAATGGCGTGACGCTAGCTTGCTGAGTGTGGCCTCCCTTAGCGATTCGCAGGGACACTTGAAAACCGGGGCATATCTTTCTTCCCACCACGGGCGAACAAAAGAGAAAAGTACAAGACGACTCCAACGATATATATCTCAGAGTGACTTTTTATGCAAAAGTAAGAGCGAGCGGAGAGGCGGCCGTGGCGAGAGGGAAAATAAAAGAGGACGATGATTGGACAAGAGCCAGATAAGGAATCGAGGGCTTAGTGGCGGAGGTGGCCGTCGACCCATCGTCATAATCATATCGTCGTCGATGGCCATGATCAGGTCACCCTTTTTTTCGTACTTGTATACCAAAAAACCAAAAACAGCCCACACTACGAAAAAGAGCGCTAGGAACAGAGGGGAGGGAATCTAAGGGACACACAACACAACCTTGACATTACACACCACCACTACCACCACCACCACCACCACCATACATCATGCCTCAGTCAGACTCCCCTACCCCCGTCGTCGTCGTCGACATACACACCCACATGTACCCGCCGTCATACATCAAACTGCTCTCCTCGCGAACCACGGTCCCCTACATCCACCAGCCCAGCGACACGCCCGACGCCGATCCACGACTCATCATCCTCGCCTCCGACGACGATCCGTCTCGGCCCAAATCCTCGCGGGGCAGGCCCGTCGACAGCACGTACTCGTCATTTGACCAGAAACGGGCGTTTATGCGCCGGCACGGCATCTCGTGCAGCGTCGTCAGCCTGGCGAATCCGTGGCTCGACTTCCTCGACCCGGCCACCGCTCTACAAACGGCCCAGGAAATCAACAATGACCTCGACGCGGCGTGCGCTGAGAACAATGTCGCTTCAAGCTCTCATGACGGACTCAAACTCTACGCCTTTGGCTGTCTCCCCTTGTCCGCCCCGGCAAAGGACATTGTCAGCGAGATCCACCGATTAAAGTCGCTCCGCCACGTCAAGGGCGTCATCATGGGCACGACGGGCTTGGGCAACGGTCTCGACGACCCGGCTCTGGACGACGTCTACTCTGCCCTGGCCTCGACCGCGACCTTGGTCTTCCTGCACCCGCACTACGGCCTGCCAGACTCGGCCTTTGGCGGGCCCGACGTCGTCGCAAAGTCCGGCCATGTCCTGCCTCTAGCATTGGGGTTTCCGCTGGAAACGACCATCGCCGTCTCGCGGATGTACCTGTCGGGCGTCTTCGACCGCCATCCACAACTGCAGTTTCTTCTAGCCCATTCTGGCGGCACCCTGCCCTTCCTGGCGGGGAGGATTGAATCTTGTGTCGCCCACGAGCGGGAATTCATCGCCAACGGCGGCCATCGGCAGGGTCCCCAACGCTCAATTTGGGATGTGCTGCACACAAACATCTACCTTGACGCTGTCATTTACGGACAACCGGGGCTGAAAGCCGCTATCGAGGCGGCAGGCAGCGTGGATCGAGTCATGTTTGGAACCGATCACCCTTTTTTCCCGCCACTGGGGGATGACAAAGAGGCAAAGTGGTTGAGCGTGGAGAGCAATAAAGGGGCCATTGATGACTGCTTACCAGAGGACGAGGCCGCAAAGAAAAAGATCTTGGGTGGAAATGCCATCAGAGTGCTCGGTTTAGACTTATAGAACCCTATGGTCCCCATCTCAAATATTGAGATCGTGTTGACCGCCCGCGAATTCTCTGTGCTGGCTGCAGGAAGTTCTGCTAAAAGCCCACAAAACTCTAACATCCCGACCAGAACTGAAATACGACAAAAGTGCGTCGAGGGGGTGCTGCTGCTGCTGCTGCTGCTCGAGCCGGATCGCCAAAATGGAAGAGGCTCAAACATCCGTCCTCCCAGATAAGATATCCCAGCCTAGATGCTCCCAAACCTCTCCAATAAACCACTCGGGAGACCGTTCCTTCTCCCCGATCGCCTCCATCACTTGCGTCCATTCTCCTTCCCCCTCCCTTTCCTCGTCTCGTCTCAGAGAATTGCAGAATGTATCGTCACCATCTCCAAACACTCCTCGAAGAAGCGTATTCTGGAGTGTTTCCTCAATTCGTCGCCGAAGACCTTTGCCATGGGCGACATCTTTTGAGTCGGACCCCTGCAATGCAAAAATGAGCTGGGACTTTTCAGACATATTTTTGGTGTTTGCCAGCAAGAATTCCATTCCCTTGCGCAAAATCCAGATGAGGTATGGTCCTTCAATTGTAGCTGCACCTGTCGCGGACGCGGTATCAAGATGCGCAGCGTCCATCAAACCGCGTGGTGCAAGCAGACCGGTCTGTTTGTTCCTTGTCCGCGTCGAGTCTGCAAATACCAGAAGTGACAATATTGAACCAACATGGTCTAAGATTGTACACATGTAGCCTTCTAAGAGTTCACAGTGAAAATCGCTGGAAACGTCAAGCGCTGTTATCATGTACGCCAGCGTCCGAACTATCTCTTTGGTCTCGGCGACGGTTTGTTCGCTCATTGACAAATATCCACGGCTGGAAGTCTCATGCGTAGGGGCAGGTTTCCGTCTCTTCGATTTGACGCGTTGCTTTTGTCTAGCATATTCATTCAAAGCGAGCTCGTGGAGCCGTCCGAAGAAGGCTTGAAACACCTTGGTCAGGTGTGAGAGAGCAGGGTAGTTTTCTTCACCTTCCTCACCCATCTGTAGCTGGATGGATTCTAGGCCCTCCAGAATTGATGGGTAGACATTCCTGAAGACCGCAGAAAGATCTTGCATCGATGGATCTTCCAGCTTGGCGTTATTCTTTCGCGTTGCGCTCGGTTGCTTCTGGAGTATCCTTGAGACGGAAATCGCGAGCGCCTTGATTGCATCTACGAGAACCTCCTGACAGGGATCGGTTAGACGCAGGCTGTGACGGAGGGATCTGACGCCGCGAAGGAATGATTGACGATCTGCGGCGAATTAATATCTCCCCACGCTAGATGCCTGAAACGCACCTGTGAGCGGTATATTGAGACTTTCGATTCCCAAGTCACTATCGTCAATTTCAAGTTCCCTGTGCTGTCTGGTTGCTGGTTTGGCCTTTCTCGCCGGGATCGTCACAGCATCTCGTTTGCGTTTGCCAGCGGTAGACTGTCGTTTTGGAGGCTGGACATCTTCAGCAGGTAAAAAGGGGTCTCTCTCTTCTCTCAACCGTTCCAGCTCATCGGCTAGCTTCAAGCGCTCTGATTCGGCTTTCTGGTAGGCGCTTTTCCAATACATCGTTGCGTCAAAGTCAAGAATCGTGGAGGGTTTGTGAGACCGGACCACGATGGCCTGACGAAGGTGCTCGATGTATTCTGACTCTAAATCAGCCCGGGAAGCTCTGTGACACGGAAAATTCGATACCTTCTATGGAAAATTGGGGTGGTTTCGAACGAATGACGGCAATGGCAAAGGCGATTTGGGCGGGGCAAGGTAGGTCATGACAGTTCTGGTCCAAGGCTGGCTTGAGGGGGGTTGTCATGTCTCCTATTCACCTTTGAGAGCGTAGGAGAAGCACATACTGCGGGCAAAGAAAGGAAAGGTTCAGAAAGTAGGAGAAGACAGAGAATAAGAGAGGGGAAGTCGATGTCATGGAGTCAAAGGAGAGTGACGGAAGTCGAGAGCTGGGCAGAGAAACATGGAAGGTGCGGAATGCACTGTTCTGACAATCTATTCGGAGGAGGATAAAAAGAACGGCATGTATTACGCGAGAGGGAGCATGTCAGTGACAGGTTGAGATACCGGCATCTACAGACTGAAAGATATAGACTCACGTGGTTTGCATGAAGCCATGGAAAAGCCGTTGGGAGAGAGGCAACGAGGAATCAATCGATGACATGTATGGGCTTGCGGTGCGCCGTAGTGGCTACTGCGGAGCATAATATTCCGGTGACTTCATCCATCTTTGCGCAGTTCTGCCTTTGCCTGCAGAACTCCAACAACCAGACATAGAATTCACATAGACAGACGTTTTCGCAACCATGGCGCCGTCAAATGACGCAGCAGACATGGCTGTCGACTACTACGAACTGTTGTCCATACCTGTAACAGCGTCAGAGTCAGAAATCCGCCGTGCCTACAGGAAGACGTCGCTACTCTATCACCCGGACAAAGTCAAGCCCACGCCAGAAACCCTCGAGAAGTTCCAACTCCTGCAGACGGCGCTCAACATCCTCACAGACGCCGCCGAGAAGTTAAAGTATGACCAGACGCGGGAGGCGAAGCAGAGGCGGCTGGCGGAGACCGCCGCTCTCGAAAGCCGCCGGCGACAGATGAAGGAAGAGCTGGAGAAAAGAGAAGGCTCTGTCACGGGGATGCCCACCTCCGTAGGCGGCGTGAAGCGGACCTGGACGGAGCGAGAACTCGAAATCAAACGCATCGCTGAAGAGAACAGAAAGAAACGGGAAGCGGCAATGGCACACAAGGCGCAAGAGGCACATGCTCGAACTCAGGCGGCGGAGACGGCAGAGAAGGAGCAATCCGGCTCGATAGACCGATCTGTCAAGGTGCGCTGGATCAAGGAAGCGGACGGTCTGGATATCGATCAGGAGGCGCTTGAAGAGAACTTCGCCTCAGGCGATGTAGAGAATGTCCTGATACTGAAAGACAAGAAACGTCGTGTCGAGGGCAGAGATAAAAAAGTTCTACTGGGCACTGCTGTCATTGTGTTCAAGTCACTGGCAATAGCGAAGAAGGTGGTGGCACAAGGCCCATGGGAAGGTATCGAAAGCGTCGAGTGGGCCGCAGCAAAGGAAACCGACGGCGGTTGACAGTGAAGGACGGTTTGAACCTTCTACAACCACCTATATCAGAGACCCACCATCAGGTTTCTGTGTCCCCTTATACGGAGAGTCTCGAGCAGCCTTTGCCAGTGAGTTGCTGCCAGTTGTCAAGTGCTGAACAAGGCAGCAGGAAGCATTCCTAGGAAACTGTTTCCTCAACCAATGGACCTCACACAACAGGAAGGGTCTGCGACGGGATCTCACCAGCAACTGAAAATACGTATTGCTTGAGCCTGACTGATCTGTGCCACACCGGTTGCTAGCGTGCAAGTCAGGACTCATGGCTGTCCGTTCCAAGCAAAGCGATGGACCGATCAAGCCACAAGAAGCCAGCGGATGAGCAGTATGGAGAATGATGCTTCACATACGACGAGGCCCATCTGCTGACAGACACCTTTTGCTAGGCTTTGAAAGTCAGTAAGTCAGGGAGGACAGGCGGCGTTGACGCAAGTGGAATGTGCCTCCGGGTTCAATGTAGAGATGCTCAGCGACCACAGGCTGAGACGCCTTGTTGTGACATCCGGTTGATCTTATTAGAAGTTTCTTCTCTAATCAAGTTCCTCTTCTTCCTCGTCCTCCTCTTGTCTGGGTTTAGCTTTCTTTTCCTTCCTCCGTAAGCTCTGCTCAACGCCGTCCCTCAGCCACTTGGGCACAAACGGCTTGATCATGACTCCCTGCTGTTCTTCGCCTTCGCCCGATCCCGACTGGACCTTGTACTGCTCAGCTGGGTCGTAGTTCGTCCTGTCCGCCGTCAACTGGATGTCGGTCATCATCTCCAGGCGGCACAGCGCGAGCCCGATATTGCCCACGCCCGCCAGCCACTTCCCACTACTCCGCCCCCGCCCTTTGGCTTTGAGTTTGCAGATATTGGAGCCTGGCGGCGGAAGTGTCAGTTGCACACCGGGGTTGTACTCGGGAAGCGTCTGGTCTGCGGGCAGGGGCTCGCCGTCGGTATCGTACAGTTGGCACGGGAGTATCCTCTTCCTGACCACGCCGGTGTGGTGCGTCCGGATGGTCAGTTCCTGGCCCAGGTAGCAGCCCTTGAAGAAATCGATCCCGCCAAGGAAATCAATGTTGCTTTCCTGCGGCAGCGCGTGGCCGGAGATGATCTCGGACTGGCCCTCCGCGATCCCGTTGAGCATGCGGTGCACCGTGTATTCTTCCAGCGTGGCACGTTGACTCCCCGTGTCTTCCAGTCGCTGCTGCGCGACCGGCTTAGAGGATGTCTCGTCGAGCAGCCACCGAACGCCCATACCGGGTCTGGGATCCTGGCCCCCTAGACCCCATGCGCTGCTCGCACTCTCCGAGGCGTGGCTGTCGGCGGAAGGATGCGACGGCGGGGGTGGCCAAGTGTAGTAAACCCCCATTCTCTGGCCATCCACCTTTTCCAACGTGAACTTTGCCCGCAGCTTGTGTTTCTTCAAGTGCTTGAACAGGTCACCCGCGCTGTCCGAATCAACCTCGATGAACCATTCTTCCCCCGGTTTATCACCTGCGGGGGATGGTGGGTAGACAAAGACATCGTTCAATATCCTGCCCTGGGCAGAGAGAAACGCCGTGTAGATCGGGTTCGTGCTCCCTCCAATGTCGAGGATCTTGGCCGGGATGAGATTGTGGAGGAAGAGGGCGGCATCGGGCCCGGCGAGGCGGATGATGCTGCGGTTCGTGAGATGGAGGTACTTGCTTTGGGCAGGCGATGTAGCGTGGAGCGGAGGGGACGTGGTGAACTTGCGGCGGACCAGAGGTTGATCGCGAGAGGCGCTCCGGAGCTGGCATTCGACGCACACAAAGGGCCGGAGTCTACTCGACTTGAATCTCGGAGGCATATTGAGAGGGTAGTGTTCACGATCTTAGGCGTCAAGCGCGATTCATACTATGTAGAAAATATTGGTACCAGCTCGCCAGGTTCGATGACGAACACTTGGGAGTGGAATTTCGGATGTGCCATCCTCACTCCTCCCTCGCCTTCTCCGCATTTTCTAAAATCCTCGTGGCGTTTTCCCGACAAAACACCTACATACTCCGCAACTACATACAAACATTCTGTTTTTGTACTCAGCACTGGTGGCACCTCATTTGATGCTACATCTATAGGCCGACCAGTCAGATGCCGACCTAACCAGACCAACCGCTCAAGGATTTTTGCATCGTGAACAACCTGAAAAACCTATCGGAATTCACCACCGTTGTCCGCTGAAGGGAATAGTGTCTTACAAGCCACAGCATCGGATGGAAGAGGAGTATTACATTGATGGTATCGTTCTTCCCCGAGGAAATGAGGGACCATGAAATACAAAGACTTTTGTCTGTTGCCTGGACTTTTGAAGCCGACGAACGACTTGACTTGCCCCCCCCCCCCCCCCCCCACTGGATCAACACGACTTGATCGCGCACTTGATGAACTCCCCAAGAAAAAGCGTCGTGTTTCAGCGTTTCCAGAACCCCATATCCTCAAGTTCCGTATACTTCAGTGGCGTCCTCAACAGATCCTCCTCACGGATGGCCCTGGCGATTTCTTGGTGGTGCGGCAAGTCACGCCGAGTCTGAAGTTTTGACATGTCGTCGAGCCTGTGGGAAGGACAACGGAAGAACACATGTTAGCAATTGGAATGGACCAAGAAGACACTGTATCCCAGCAGATGCGGTCCCCAATACCACAGGAACCAATAACTCAAAATCAAACTCCCGGCCTCTGTCGGCCTTGTCCAATCAAGACTTCCACTAGGTAGGTAGGTACATGACAGGGCGACCTCTTCGGACGAGTTGTGAGAGTAGACACGACGTACCGAAAGACAATGATAAACTCGACACCCTCTTCCTCAGACGAGCTTCCCACGCGCTTGGCTTTATAGTAACGGTACAAGCTGACCCAGGGCTCATGCTGACGGACCTGGTCGGCGACAGTGGTGATGAGCTCCTCGACTCGTTTCTCCTTGCCTGGCTTCGCAGAGACCTGCACCATCACATTCGGGGGCACTGGGGCGTTGGACATTGCGTACAGAAGATGTTGTGAAATGAATCTGGCAGGTAGGGAGGCTTTCCGCTGTTGAGAGGAGTGAGTCAGTAGGTGTTTCGAAAGAGAGCCCGGTTTCGAGCGGGATGTCAACGTCTTAATGTACGGAAAAGGGGAGTAGAAGACGTCGTTCGTCCTACTGATCCTGCTCGAATCCTTGTTGCTCTTCGTATTCCAGACTTTCTGGAGGAGAGTCCCCCACTTTCTGGATCCGCAAATTCCATCGGCCACAGCCTCGTGTTCGTATCGTTTCAGCTGAGCTGGGTACTAGGTAGACGAACCCGACGCATTGTACAGTGGAGGGAGACTTGGGACAAAGTATGACGACAGGAGGGCTGAAACTTTTGATCCAGGTCCAGGCCGCAGGTCCCTTGCTACTGATCCATCCATTCATCCACCTCCACCCATCACCTTGACGTGTCATGCGTCATATGCGTGGCGGCACAGGAGCAAAGTCAAGTTGAAAGCAGACAATCATCCCTTGCTTGAGAATGAGACTGCAATTAGCTGGTCGCCGAGGGTGTCCTTTGGTGTTCCCATCATATACATATACTTGTCCTATCCAACACAGCTCCACGTGATCCACTGCACGAGGCTGAAGTATCAAAAGGGGGGTGGCACCAGTGGTAATTATTTGGTGGAGAGGAACACAAGAGGAGCGAGAGCAAAGTGCAATGGAATGGGCTAGCTTGATAAGGACCACTTTAGTAGATGTAACAATGAGTGAAAGCCTTCCAAAAGATATGGCAAGATTAGATTTCTATACTAGTGTACGAGTATCCAATATGCAACCCTGATGTGCATCGTAGGGAAGTATCCCGCCGCAATTGACTGCCCTCCCATCATTACCAAATGATCAATCATTTCCGACCAGAAGCACAAGTCCAAGTAATGTGTACTCGTAATCAATACATCCGGGGATTCTCTGCACGCTTCTCCAGCGGCAGCTTCTCCCAGCGCCCGATGAGGATGGTCCGACAAGACCTGCCAAACGTGCGGATCCAACCGTAGACCGTGTTCAGACCGCGCCGGCGTTTGCTCGTCCCGACCTGGCCGTGCCACTTCTTCATCCGGAAGGTGTAGTACAGCAGGGGGATCATGAAGAGGTCGAACGCCACGTACGCCCAGACGAGGCCAAAGTTGCGCCAGCGCAGGCCCCACGAGATGCCGCGCGGGCTCAGGTACTGGTCCGCCACCGACAGCGCGCAGTATTCGCAGTTGCTCGTCGCCGCCGGGTTGTACAGCGTGCCCGGCGCCAGCTGGAGGTAGGGCGCGAGGTACTGGCCGCACGTCATGTTCGGCGGTGGAGAGAAGATGCTCATTTCGTTTTCCGAGCATACGACCTTGCGGCTGTGCAGCGCCGTCGCCACGATGCCATCGATGATGTAGGTGAAGGGGCTCACGCGGTACATGAACGTCCAGAAGCCCGGCAGCGCATCCGGTGGTTGAAGCACGCTGGGAAAGAGTTAATCGATGCGAATCAAAAAGTGAAAAGGGGGGGATCACTACTCACCCGTTGAACAAAACACACATGGCGAACATTAGTGTTGCAATAATACCGGCGGTCTCTGCGTCAGGCAGAGCTGCAATCACCATCTGCGAAAACGTACTTGCATACACGAAAAACTGTACGCAGAATAACAAGACAAGTCCTTGTCTTTCCGAAGATTGTATGCTTTGAGATCATCTGTTAGCGCAGAACATGTAGAAATCAATGCTTTTAAAAAGACTTACCCAAAAACCGAGTAGTAATACGAAGCGTATACCATGATCCCGAGCAGAATTTGGTAGGGTATCTCCACGATGATGTTGGCCAGGAGAAATGCAACATAGGAGTAAGCCCTGGACGGCCGTTCGCGAACTTCGTAGAGCGACCTCTGAATGACGAATCGAGGAATGATTTGCTGAATCAATGCCGTGAATATTGTGGTAAGCATGAACACACTCAGTAACACATTCTGTAACCCTTGTTGAGAGCTGTTGGACTGCCAGAATGAGAAGCCAATGAACCTATCTCGGTCAGCGTCCTCTCCCTTCAAATAGTTCAAATGTTGCAATACTCACAGAGATGAAGCAACACCGAGGCCGAACTTGTGGAGGATATATCCAGGAGTTCTCCAATACTGCTGAAAGGCGCGGACGGTTGTGTGATATGTCTGAGTGTAAATCGGAACTGCATACTGACTCAGACTCGTGCCGGTGTCGTCTTCCACGGGAATCTTGCTTGTTTCCTGGTTGATTCGGTCCAACTCTGCCAGTATATTCTTGTTCTCCTCGCTCGATCTCCAAGTCTCAACCCAATCACGGTTGTCTTTGGCGCTTGCTTCAGGATTGACCACTTCCAGCATGTACTCTGCCACGTTTTCAGAATCGCTGCAGGGCCTGGCTCCGTGCCTCTCAAAGTAGCTGGTCAGGGTCTGTGAGTTGGTGCCGATTTCGCCAAAGTAGACTGTCCGGCCTCCGGTAGTGAGGAAGAGCAATCGATCAAATTCCTGAAACAGTAGCGCACTGGGCTGATGAATGGTCGATAGAACAGCTTGTCCGTGGTCGGCAAGTTTTCGGAGGAAGCTGAGAATAGACCACGAGCTTTGTGAGTCCAGCCCACTGGTTGGTTCATCGAGGAAGAATAGGAGGGCAGGTTTCGCGGCGAGCTCTACTCCTATCGTAAGGAGTTTTCGTTGCTCAACATTCAGGCCTTCACCCGGTACACCGACCACGGCCTCGGCGAAGTCTTCGGCGTTGATCATCTTCAGGACCATCAGCATAGCCCACATACCTTCCCAAGCAGAGATATACAAACCTTGATGACTTCCTCGACGTACTCGTACTTCTCCTTCTTTGAGACAGATTTCGGCTGACGTACCATGGCGCTAAAACGCAATGCTTCGCGGACAGTTGAGGTCTCGAGATGGAGATCCTGCTGCTGCACATACCCTGCCATTTGTTAGCCCACAAGCTGCGATGAAATGCTGTTGCTGATAATGCCATACCTGTTTTCCTTTGAAAGCTGGGGTCCAAGGGCTTTCCATTCACAAGCATGTCACCCGTCACAACTCCGATCGAGGTGCGCTGTGCTAAAACGTCCAGCAGTGTGGTCTTCCCGGCACCTGATACACCCATCAGAGCAGTTAACGTTCCAGGTTTGACCCATCCTGATACTTGGTCGAGTAGCCTGCGCGTACCGTCCTTGACAGGAATATCGTAGTTGACATTGCGCCAAGTAAAGATCGCCTTTTGTGGTGGGATTGCCCGGATATCTTCAGCTTGGGTGTCATGGCCCCCAGTTATTGCGAGGGAAGCCTCAGGATCTTCCGAGTTTTCATGTCTCAACCCCTCTTCGACGTAATGTGGTACGTGGCCACGGCGGAACAGCAACACTTCTCCCTTGCCGTCTGGTTTGGAGTTGATTTCAGATACTCCTAGGTAAGTGATCATGAAGAAGATCAAGAAAGCAATCACTATGCCGAGATTCCGCCAAGTGTGGTTGTAACTGTATCTGTAAGATTTTTCGAGATACGTGTCACCAGACACCGTCAACTGACCGACAATCGCGCCAGGAACGGAGCAGATAAACGTGTCCCCAACCAGGTTTGGATATGCAGGGACGAAGCTATGATCCGCGTGAGTGGAGGGCAATGAAGGGGATGATAACATTGACTTACTTGCCACACGGGAATTGCCTTCCATGAAACTCATTGACCAGAAGTGCCTCAAATGCAAATGCAACTGGATTGCACCACGACAGCCACTTGAACCAAGGGTGCATATTGGGTCGAGGTATTGTGAAACCAGTGTATATCACTATCGCCAGGACGAACACGGCAGCAATTGCAAGTGCTTGTGTGACTGTTTTGGTCGCCGCCCCAATAGTTCTGAAAAGTCCCATCATGGCCATCCTCGTGAGAAAGGCGAAGAGGAAGAAGATGAAGAACTGTGCAGCTTCCCTCCTGAGCCCCGAGAGAAAATAGAGGACAACGTTGAAGACGACGGCGGTGAGCAGCTGAACTGGTAGGTCCGCTACTACAGTAGCCAGCGCCTCTGTGAATGGGTGGTAGAATCTATAACCAGGTCAGTATGAACCACAGAAGAGCCGACGCGCAACTGGGGACCTCGAAGCGCTTCGAAGGCCACTCTGGCCACATGACACTCACGCGTAAGACGCTTGCTTCTCCACGATAGGTCTTTGGTCATACAAGCGATTGATTTCCGTAACTGCAATCAGAGCATTCAATAACACAGCAGAGAAAATAACGGAACTCTTGGCGAAGAAACTATTCGTGTCGTTGATCGTTCCGTAGAAAATAGAGCCGATAATGAGGGCCATGCTTGCTTGTCCAATGATCAAGGTGAAGCGGATGTCCCGTTCGTTCCAAAGACGCTGAAACCCTCGCTTGGTGCAAATCTGAATTTGCATCGGCGTCGAAACAGTGTATGGGGAGCTCGGAGGAACATGGTGCGCTTGGACCGCACGACGGGCGGCTTTGAATTCATCGGCCGCAGCGGAGGTGTAATCTTCTTCTTCGTGAGTCTTCATCTCTTCTTGGAGGGACGTGTAAAGGCTCGAGTTTCGCCAGTATTGTTCGAATTCGACAGCGGTACGAGGAACCTTTTCTTCGTATCCTGTTCTCGTTTTTCTTTCGTTCACGTTTGAGATTGAGGTCAGAAAGTCAGGCGTTGTTTGTCGAGCTGGACAGTGCCAACCCATCTCTGTAAAGTAGTCTCTCGCAAGAATGGTTGGGCCAAAGTAGATCTCCCGTCCCTCATAGAGGACCACAACCTTGTCAAAAGCGTCGTACATCGCCTGGGAAGCCTGATAGGCAGCAACTGCGTGGGCAGAGCCGATCAAGTCGGCACTCAACCTGAGAGTTCGGACGAAGGTGAGAGCAGAAGAGGCATCCAAGCCACGCGTACTGTTGTCCCAACAGCCGATGGGTGAAAATGAGAGAAGCATCTCAGCAATGCTCACTCGCTTGCAAAAGGGTTAGCATATGTTAATGGTGTTGTATATCCAGAAGATTACCTTCCTCTCCCCTCCTGATGCACCTCGTACATACGCATTGCCTACTTTTGTATTCTGGACATGAGTCAATCCGCATACTGCCATTACTACGGCTGTGGCTCTCTTGACGTTTTCTTGTCGCGACTCCCCCAAGATTCGGTTTCGTGGGGTACGCATGGCAGCGGCAAATTCGAGGGTCTGTCTGACGGTCAAATGCGGAAAGTGTATGTCGACTTCGGCATTGTAGACGATCTCGCCCTTGAAGTGCTTGATCATTTGGTCCTGAGGTATTCCTGTCCAGATATTAGGTCCATACGGTCAGCCGAAGCAAGGAGGTAATCCATACCACTATAGTGTATGACCGAGTCATCCCCTACTTTCAGGCCATGGAGTTCTCCAGCTAACGTCTTTAACAGGGTCGAGCATCCGCTTCCAGGGCGACCCAAGACCAGCAGCATCTCTCCGGGCTTGACGACGCCGTCAAAGCCGGCGAGAATCTTTCTCTGTGGCTTTTTCGCAAAGCGTACCAATTCCCCTATGCGCAAGGGAGCAAGGAGATAGGACGCTACTGTCGGCTGGAGATTCATGGCGATCCCAGAGCCTGATACGCTCAGGTTCTTGAATGTGATTGATGCACGTCGATGCTTGATGTTTGCACCTTCTGCTTCTCGAAGGGTCATCCTGGCCCATTTGTATATGTCGAAAGCGGGATCAGAAGGATCCAGAGCGGGGTCATGACTTTCTCCGTGCTGTTCGGGTGGCTGTCAATTGCGGTGAGTTGAGGAGTTTTCACGATTTGATTCCATAGAGCTCCTAGAAGCCTTACCTTTGACTCGCTGGCGACCCGTGTGATCTCAGCACGTTCAGCATCCGTGATGGGCTCATAGTTGCTCGCTTTGCTGGACATGGACTGGCTGCGCTGCAGTTTTTCATCCCAACTCGAAACCGACTGCCCACTTCGTGACCGGGTACTGGAGATGTCGTTTTCATCATCTTCGGTCTCATTTTGTCTTTGACTGCTTGACGCCATTGGTGCAATAAGAATCAATTGTGTTCTTGTAAGGAAGTAAACAACACAGCCATAACAGAAGCCTGTCAGGGACGACACGGTCCCCCATAAATGTACTGACTCTGGGGCCCGTCAAATAGCTCAACAGGTGCATAATCAGCCTCGGAGGCGACGCCTCCGTCTGAAGTCCCACCTGCATGTTTATTTTTTTTTGGCCGGTATTTCCGTTTGCAGTCTTCTGATAATGAGGTCGAACTATTGGACTTCACACTACTGAAGCACATATACTATCGTATGATGTGTTCCGGGTTAAGTTTGTGTCCGAAACCCGGCGAGAAGCTGATTGGCGGATCGTATATCGTATCGGAGCAAGTGACCGTACGGCTTCTTCCGCTGCTTGCACGTGACCTTGACGCCGGCCGAGGGGGCTCCGAACTTGAACGCCAAGACTCGGCTCCTTGTCGCTTTTCCGCTTCTATGGTGCGTTCACAATCCCCGCATCTGCCGAGTACATGCTTGTACATTCTTTAATTATTCACTTAATCGAAGCACCAACCTGGTTCTCCTGGGGCTGTCTTCCAAAGTGCGGGAAATGGAGGCTAGTTGACACCTACCGGCACACATTCACTGACGTCATCCTCTGAAGGAGTCGATATTTCATTTACTCAATTGACATCCCTGCATCAGTGTCACCAAAAATCACACCTTTGCGCAAAGTCGATCACACCACAAATTTACCCACGAAGTCTCACGCACGAACCTTTTTGAGAGAAAAGAGGAGGCAGGGTATGCCCAACGCCAAATATGACCTACCTCACAGATCTGCACTCGTATCTGCACCAGTCCTCGCTCCTCATCCAAGCCTACCCTTCCGCACGGATCACGACAAAGTATGCACTACCCCGGAAGCCTAACACAAAGGCCAAGTCAAAACCCAAGGGATCTAAACGGAAAGAGGATTCTGCTTCTGGCCCCTCGACGACAGACACTGCGCCAGCAGCCGCAAATTCACAGCCGCAAAGTAAGCGGGAGCGTTCTGCTGTCCTCACCTTAAAAACCTACCACGCAGAGAGCGGAATATGCTTGAAATATCGAACCGACAAGGCTGCTGAAGTTGGGAGATTATTGACTGGACTAGGGAGACTGGCCAAGGGGGAGGTCATTGAGATGCCTGCTGCTGTTGCTGTTTCTGCGGCGCCAGGGGCTGGAACAGGCGTAGATGGTGACAAGATGGACATCGATGGCGGGAACGGCGTTACGACAACCAAGGTCGAGGACAAAGTTGTCACCGCGCCGCCAGCTGTGACGCATGGGGCTGGAGGTGGAAAAGGCAAAAAGAAGAAAGGGAAGAAGTGAAGGTCGCCCTAAATGGGTTGGTTGCACATACCGGTATGCCCGTCAATCAACGGGTGGTCGACTAGGCTCCGTCGCGCCGCCAATGTCGCAAAGATGATACATCCTGATAAAGGGAATGGCATTTCACAGAGAATGACCACCACGAGGTTCAAATGCAAGGGAAGCCAGTGACGTGAGCAAGAAACACTCGTGCAGTTCGAATGGCTCCCGATCATGCTGAGAATGCGATCGAAACCTACGGTCACTATAGCATACGGGATGAACCCATCTCCGAGACAGATACTGAAGCTATCAAGCGGTGATGATTTCGCACGATCATTTTCGTGTCATACCCAGAGGGTCAACATGGGCCGAATCCGATGAGGGCTCTCTTCATCCGCGAACGACATGAGACAGGATAATACAGCTATTATGTTTATGATTGGAGTTCTTGTTCAGAGCACTAGTATGTATTTCGTACAACCTTCCAGTTCACCACGCTATGAATTTCTTCCATGATTAACCAAAAAGCCAGAGCCTCTCAAGCTGACCCATGCATCCGCGAAGATGCAGACCGTTTTCAAAACCAGTTCAGCAAGAATAGCCATATCCTCCTCACTCGAGAACCGTGTAAAGCCGCCGCGCCGCTTTCTTGTTGACAGATGACAATGTGAAATGGGTATAACATGTGTGGAAAGGATGGGACACCCTCTAGGTTTTCTTCCTTCGTTTACCGGGAAACGCCTTGAACACCGACAGAAAAAGAAATCGTCGTCAAAGATCCAGTATGATCTAAAAGTCTTCGTCAAAGCTGATGCCGTTGCTTTCGGCTTCCGTCTTCTCCTCCTTGGGGGAAGTAGACTTCTCTTCGGACTTCTTGTTGGCTGAAGTCATGACACCACTCTTTTGGTAGTCGCCGACGCGCTTCTCGAAGAAGTTGGTCTTGCCCGCAAGAGAGATGTTTTCCATCTAAAGGTCCCATCCAGTTAGCATTTCAAATCCGACGTGCATTTCGGTTAGGAAGGGTAACAGCGCCACATAACTGTTGCACCGATGAACCCATGGGATAGTACTTACGAATGGGAAGGGGTTTTGCGCATTGTAGTATCGCTTGTTGCCCAGGGCGAGGAGCAAGCGGTCAGCGACAAACTCAATGTACTGACACATGAGCTTCGAGTTCATGCCAAGCAATGCGACAGGAAGGGCATCGGTGAGAAATTCCTTTTCGATCTTGACAGCCTCTGTTATAATGTTTTCGATGAGTTGTGGGTCAGGCTTGTGCTGCAGATGTTGCATCAGCAGGCATGCAAAGTCCGTATGCATGCCTTCATCACGAGAGATGAGCTCGTTGGAGAAGGTGAGGCCAGGCATGAGACCCTTGCTCTTCAGCCAGAAGATGGATGCAAACGATCCAGAGAAGAAGATGCCTTCGACAGCAGCGAAGGCAACCAGACGTTGAGCAAAGCTCGACTCTTTGTCTGAGATCCATCGCAAAGCCCAGTCTGCTTTCTTGCGAATGCAAGGGATTGTGTCGACGGCGTCAAACAGATACGTCTTCTCTTTGGGATCCTTCACATAGGTGTCAATCAGAAGACTGTACATCTCCGAGTGAATGTTCTCCATCATGACTTGAAACCTTTTGGGACTGTCAGTAACGTTAGCTATGGAGCGGGAGGGAGTGCTTACCCGTAAAAGCAACGTGCTTCCGGTACCTGCACTTCGGCGCTGAAGCGCTCAAGAAGGTTCTCGTTGACAATTCCATCTGAGGCAGCGAAGAAAGCGAGGACATGGGAGATGAAGTAGCGTTCGTCATTGTTTAGACGGTTGTGCCAGTCGTGAAGGTCTTTAGAAAGATCGACCTCTTCTGCCGTCCAGAAGCTGGCCTCGGCACGCTTATACATGTTCCACTGTGCAACGTTAGCCAGGAAGCTTCGGCCACAGAAGAATCTGCGCTGGTAGCCATGACACGTACAATCTCATGATACTTCAAAGGGAAGAGAACGAAGCGATGAGGGTTCTCTTGCAGCAGTGGCTCTTCAGCCTCGAGCTCTTTAAGCGTCTTGGGGACCTGAGCCTGCTTGTTCTTCTCGTCTGCCTCTGGTGCCGGCTGTTTCTCAGTCTCTGGCTCCAGTTTGGCTGTGGGTTCGGTGGGCTCGAGGGGAACAGGCATGTTTTCCTTATCCTCGACGTTGAAGTTGAGTTTCTTAACAGGACTGTCTTTGACCTTGAGATTCTCGAGGCTTGCAGCCGCCTGCGCGTATTTGTTAATAAGATGTACATGTCGAAGAAAGAGTCCATGAAGCAAGTGGCAAACACACCTGTTTCGACGGCGTAACTTGAGTCGTCATTGTTCAGTGATGAGATAAGGAGCAATGAGGGAATAAAGAAGTACTGGTATATGAGCAGGACGAGTAGAAGTGGTCGTGGTTGTTGAGTAGAAAGGGTGGAAGAGAAATGTCAATTGAGAGCAGATGTAAACTGGTTGCTGGGCGTATTTAATGTGAACGCGCTAGAGCGTGAACCGCGACAACGTGACAGAGCGTGTTCGCGCAGGCTGGGGGGCGACCAGGGGTGCAGGGCTAAGTAGTGGCCTGCGTCCGATGTTGATCCACTTTACCACAACAATGCACCACCAGAGTGCGTGACAGTGACCATGGATTCTTAGCCAGTGTGGATTCCTTATGAAATGCTGAACAATGATCTTGGATGGACTTCAGGAGAGGCACTTTCTTGATCAGCCACTGTGGTCATTTCAACCCCCTAAGCTGGACAGCTGCCTGAAGTTTCTGAAAAACTTTACAGGCCACAGACCCACGCAACTTGCAGAGAAATGTGCCTCCGAATTTGGCGGTTGCGGCCGCCGCTTTTGGAGGTGGGCTTCCCTTGGTGCCAAGAACGCAGACTTATAGAATGCCCCCAGCAGCTATTCCTACCTCGCACATCGCAGACATTGTGAACACTATAGCCACCAGCGAAACTCCCTTTGCCCTCGCTTGTGCGATGGCTAGTCAATCACGGCGCCGATCCGAATGCTCGATGTACGTTTGACATCACACGTCTTTCGATTGCTGCGCAGTCTGCTCCAAAAAACATCATCGAACTCTTGTTCGAGCTTGGGGCGTCAGTTGATTATGGACAGTCACTTCATTATGCGGTTAGGGTCGGGCGTTCCGATGAATCGATTGCTCTATTGCTAGAGAAAGGTTCAGCGATTGATGCTATTATGTTTGAGAGCCACGGGCGTTCATACTGTCATTTCACAGAGCTGGGACTTCAACACCCCTCCATGAAGCAGCACGCACTGACAACGAGAGACTGTTCCAGTTCCTCAGCCACGCCGAATCCGCGTGAAGAGGGAAGCGATCTTCATGAAAGCAGATGACTTGCCGGAAGTTGATTCCCGTATCTCGTTCTTCCTTCCACAGGTCAAAACGCATACATAACTCTGAACCAGCATCGTGCTTGAGGTGTTCTCGCTGTGGCCTACTAACTCCCTCCTCCATTATCAACAGTGGCTTCCTCGATGGCTTCAAATTCTACCGATGCGACACCTCATCGCCGGAGAGATTCTACAAAAACAGCGGAGTAACGAAGCCATCAACAAGCATGTCCCGAAACGCCCACATATCATGAATACCAGGACTTCGAACGCGAACGTCACAATCGGGGGTGAAGGCGACGGTCTC